ATAGCCCCTCATTTTTTTATTTTTTTTATTTTTTTTTTTCCAAGTAGGGACGGACCTATATTCACAATTTTTATTTTTTTTTACTGATATATCAACCTTTTTTTTTAATATATACTCATAAAATATTACTAAAGCCCCCCCTAAAATTATTACAAAATTTCAGTTTTGACCTCTTTTACCTAAAGTTCTGGGTCCGCCCGTGCTTCCAATGAACAATAAAGCAATATTATTGTTATGTCGAGACTCGACACATTGTGATAAAATATATACACTACAAATTACTTCATCATGTGCCATTCAGGAATATATATACGTATACATTTCATGTGCTCATTAATTCACTTTGAAAATACTATATAACTTAACATGTTATTAAAGACTGTCCAATATTGTGTATGATGTGTATAAAACTATAACAAATAAATAAAAATTTTGTTTGCTGTACCAAAATTCTACCAACGGTTGCTCCAATAACTACTGTTTTTTGTTAATTTCTTAATTTTTAGTTATTTGTTTCATTAATTAAGGGAATTTTTTACTTTACAAACAGTTAAACAACATAACTTTGAGAACAAATATGAAACCATATTGGCTTCTCCAACCCATCTAATTCAAACTTAAACTTAAAATGCCAACTCCAATTGATTAATTCTGACCTCACGTTAAAAAGCCCGTCTTAATCATACAAAGAATCTCTCCTATAAATATATTTCAACATCTACCACCCTTACCAAATCAAAGATAGAGACTTACATATATTTTACATATATGTGTGGTGGTATCATGTATGTTGTGATTCAATGGTGCTATACATTCATATAATAGTATATGGGCACGTGAAATGCATGTGAAATCCACAAATAATTATATTATTTACTTGTTGAACAAATAGTTCATAATAATAAAACAATAAATTTGTTGCAAGATTACTTTGGCATGTTGTGTTTATATGATTTGGGAAGAAAGAAATTCTAAAAGATATTTGAACTCGTACGTGGATGAGATTACTATCACATTTGAAGTCTACAAAACTATTAGACTAAAAACAGTGAACAATGATGACCAATTCGCAAGAAATTCTGTTATGAGGAGGGGTCGTTGAAGATTTTTTTTAATATATATATATTAAAGATACTTTTTAAAATAAAATAATAATATAAGAACTTAAATTTAATTAATAAACACGAGTAACTAGTTTAGAAAATGAGAGAGTAGAATAGATAGAGTCAATTACTAATTTACATATCATGGGATGGTAGAGAGTGAAGAAATGAGAGAGAACTTATTACTTTATTTTCTTTTAAATTTAAAAATATCATTGGATATAATAATATATAATGGGAAATTTTTGAAAATGAATAAGAAAAGATGGAGATTAGTTGTGTTTTACAATAAATTATTCAGTTCAAAAGGATATAATATTGCGCATGGAACGTATCATACTGGGGACAGCATTATGAGATTAAATCTTTATATATATATATATATATATATATATATATATATGCGCAAACAGTGCCTTCAAATTGTAGGGCAATACGATATCAGGTGGTCCCCTCCACATTAGGCTGGCAAATTGTTGGTTTGCCATTTCAGTTGGATGATGAGAATCAAAGAACACATATTCACAAGTATTCTCACATAGATATATGCATGCATTATATATTTGTGTACATGTATGTATATATAGAGAGAGAGAAATGGAACAACGGGTTCTTTTGTCCTCCAAATAATAATATAGCAACATCACTGTTGCGCAAAGGTTTGACCACATATGGTATATAAATTACTTTTAAAATATAGAACTTTAACGTGTGATTAAACACTGTGACCAATAGTGTGCATCAAACTGTAACAATTAAATAAATATTTTGTCAGCTGCTCCAAAATTCTACAAACGTCTGCTCCAATAACTATTCTTTTTTGTTTCTTAATTTTTAGTTATTTGTTTCATTGATTAAAGGGGAATTTTGACTTCACAAACATTTAAACAGTAACTTTGAGAACAATTAAAACGATCTTAATTTGTTTCTCCAACCCGTCTCATTTAACTTAAGACTTAAAATGCCAACCTAATTGATTAATTCTGACTCACGTTAGAAACCATGTCTTAATTATACCAAGAAACTACCCCTATAAATATTTTCCAACATCTACCCACCACCACTACCAAATTACAGATACAAGATTACCAATATTTACATATATTAAATAATTTTTGGATACATATAAAAATATATAATATTCTCTTTATTTTTATTTTTTAAATTAAATTGATCATCTTGGCATCAATGGCCACATCGAAAGGTTGGATGATTATCTTTTGTCTGGGAGCGCTAATTCTGATGTCTTCCAATTTCTTGATCACTGCCGAAGAAATCAGTAACGGTGCCATTGGAAGGAATAACACTCCGTGCGACAAAAAGTTGCATCCCCAGGGATGCAAGTCTCAACCAGCAAATTCGCCGTATCACAGAGGTTGTGAGGTTCCCGAACGCTGCCGTGGGAATCCACCACCAGTACCAAAATCAAAGATATTGTGAGAAAGATGAACTTTGTGTGGTGGACCTCACATGTATCATGTATGTGGCGGTGATCCAATGGTTATGCAAACAAGTATATGGGCATGTGAAAATCTCAAATGATATCATATGAATAAAACAATAAACTTGTTGCTCTCATGTTATAAGATTACATTGGCATGTTGTGTTTATATGATTGGGAAAGAAAAGGAACCCTAAATGATACTCAAATTCGTAATTGGACGAGACTACTCACCTTTGAGATTAGAGGTGGCAATTGGGTAGATTTGAACGAATTTTAAATGAGTTGGGTATGAATGGATCAGTAACATAATATCAAACCATTAATAACAGGTTATAAATGGGTAAGGGTTCAAATGAACGGATCAAAACGGGTTAACCCGTTCCAACTCATCCTTTTTTTTTTTCTTTTCTTTTTTACTTTTGCAAATTTTTTACTTTCCTACCATCCACGGCTAAAAAAACAATAATAATAATTTATTTTTACATTATTTTTTTTTATTTCAAAAAAAAAAAATAAATTATTTTTCTTTCGAAAAAAATTATTATACAACTCAGCGTAACTAGGTGTTATGATTGGTGGGCTCAAACCCACCCCGTAAAAAATTTTTAAAAAAAAAATTTACTATAGGTAATTTTAGCCCAACAAAAAATAAAAAAATTATTACTAGTATTAACTCACCTAAAAAAATTTTAACCCACCCCATTAACAATTCCTGAATCCGCCAATTTAATCAACAATATTAATTTGATATATATATATATATCCATTCTCTATATATAAGTCCAATCCGGTTATATATCTATATATAAGTCGAATGCAAGCAGGTATTAAGTTGCAGGCCCAAGAAAGAAAAAAACAAAAAGGCAGCAGGTTCGGAAAAAATAAGAATAATAAAGAGTTGCTGTGCAAAACAAACATGGTGATGTATCAAGTGCACAGTTTTGCGTACATGGGAAAGGAACTCTAAAGAGAAGGAAAGGTCAAGCAAAGAAAAGAATTATATTTTTATACATCGTCGCCTGTCTTATTTATTTTTTTTATAAATTTATATATGTAGGAAGTTGAAGAGTAAGGTAAAGAGAGTGTTATTGCTGAAAGAAAACAAATTAAACAATGATAGTTTTGTTTGAGCAGGATTAAGCTGGGTACTCACTTTTAATCCATCATTAACTCTTGAATTATACGAGTATTCACTTTTTTATCCATTACTGACACACTCATTTAAATTTGGGTGTCCAAATAATTTAATTTTAATGGGTGGTCTAATGAGTTTGGACTTAAATTGACACCTTATTTGAGATCTACAACATTATTAGACTAAAAATAGTTATGTGCACAGAAATTCTATTAAGAGGGGGTGTGGTTGAAAGAATTAAAAATAAATAGATGTCCTCCCTTCATTGGGTCCATCATTGACCCTTGAATTATATGGGTACCCACTTTTTGATCTACAACACTACTAGACTAAAATTAGACTAAAAATAGTTATGTGCACAAAAATTCTATTAAGAGGGGTGTTTGTGACTAGAAATTATGAAAATTTACATTTTCATTTTTCTTGCTTATACATTAAATGTATATACATGGTTGAACTAATCTCAGAATTAGCCCCTGCCCAAGTCCGAAAAGGGGACTAAAGCATAAACATCACATAACATTCCTGGAAATGTTTCAACCAAAAGCACCACCACCTCCAGCAGAAAGTTTGCCCCCATAAGCATAACCATTTTGGCTGAATTATTGTTGGCTAGTCTTTTCCTTCACACAATTCAATTAAATGTCACAAGATGTCAAAAGATTGAATAACAATGGTGGGAAATGGCTGTATTCTAGCAACCATATACAAAAATAATCAAAGGGAAAAAGATGGTCAAGTACATGTAGGTTGTGACATAATTTGACATTTGTGTAAATCTAAAATTGAAGTTTGATGCACCAATACGTTCAATATGGCGCATCAAAATTGAGGTTTGATGCAGAATGGTCTCAATTGTATGAAGTACCACATCAAATCTCAATTGTCATTTAAGCTTTTGGTATCCATCAAATGGCATCGGAGATACTCCCCATTCATTAGAATTTTTGTTTGTAGAGCAACTATCAACACAATATACATTTTCTAATCTCGCACCCCTTATAATTTGAAGTCATAAAAGGTACATAGGCGTGAACCACACTAGCATTCAAGAATTTTCTTTGCATTATTACATTCTCAATTTCTCACCAAATAAATGATTTGTTTTCAAACTCAGTTTTCGACTTTCTAGCTGAAAGTCCTAGTTCCAAGAAGAGAAAATATTTATCTATCTTAATTTGTATAGCATTCAGAGTTATAAAAGAAATTTTTTTATTTCAGCTACTAAAATTACTGAAATCCAGCCAACCTGTTTCTCAACCCAAGGGTTAACGCAGTTTCGTGCCACTTTTAACAGAAGAAACAAACATCAACGGGATAGAAAGAAAACCATATAAATGATAATATAAATGTTAAACAACCAATCCATATTCTAGGAGCCCAACATCAATGTCAAAATTTTCAAACTAAACATAAACTACACCTCAACTTTTTTTTGCCAAAAACAAAATCCTTACAAGATCCCTTTTTTCGGACAGAAAGTTCAACGAAAACTAATAGAGTCGGAGGTCAAGGTCCCCATTCATTTTGAGAAGCAGCAGCAGGAACAGTATTGATTCCAGCACCCGGAATTGTTTCTGGTGGAGGTGCAGCTGCAGTATCCCAACCATCAGCAGCTATTTGCGCTGGCACTACAGTTCACACACAAAACAAATTAGAATTATAAATCCAGACCAACCCAATCGTGAGCTAAAATTGGCAACTGTAGTTCGCAAGGAACACAATGCAAAGAAAATTTATAGAAGAGAAGATAAAAATCTAGACAACATGGGGAACAAGAACAAATAACATAAAAAGAAAGTATTATACAGAAGAATCCACCACAATGGGGAACAAGAACAAAAAACATAAAAGAAAGTATTATTAAAAAGAATCCACAATTCAAAATTTTAATTTTGACAAGTGACTGCTTTGCTCTTAAAGTTACAAAGAAAATTGGCATATAATAAAGGAAAATCTATTATGAGGGACCCTCATTGTAAGTTTGAGCACTCATATGTTCAATCCCAACACGGGTATTTCAGTTGAGATGGTAAACATGTTCAAATTAAGAGAACTGAGAAGCTATCATCATAACCACGCGAACATTGCAAGACAACAAAGAAATTTTTAATTTATAAAATAAAAATGGGCCACATAAAGCCAAAGAGATCTAAAAAGTCCATTGTGATCAATAAAATACACACCTGTTCCTGGAGTGGCACCCGGGACCACGTCAGTGACCCACTGGCCATCAGTAATTTGGCTAGTAGGCCATTGATCACCTGCACCAGGAATTCCAGGAGCAGTGTAATCTCCGTAATCTCCTGCTGCAGGTGCTTCCTCTTCTGCTTGCTCCTTAGATTCCTCGGGCTCCCTGTAGAAAAATAAATCAACCTGTAGGTGAATGGCAAATGTTAGCCAACACAAATAGGAAGTTCACAATATTATCAATCACCTGCCACAATTGAATTATTACAATAAAATTCAAAGTTTGACAACTTGAAATGAATTGTATTAACCAAACAAACTTCATATCCGAATTCATATCTTTCTTTTATATGAAAAGAAAAATCAAATTGTGCAACCATTTCATATTCAAAATCAAAAAATAAAAAAAATAAAATAAAAAAATATATGAACAAAATACAAGCTTCTTTCTGATAATGTTTACCATGACATCCCACTTGTGCCCCTGAGGGATTGTGTTCCGCATCTGCAGAACCATCCTCGCCAGGAGCCAGAATAGACAGCCAATGCTGTGTTTTCCCTTGTTATTTGCAGGGATACCAATATCAACATATCGCATTGGGGAATCAGTGTCACAGAAAGCGATAGTTGGAATATTTCCAAGTGCAGCTTCCTTGATAGGCTGCAAAACCGTTTACAATGACAAATCAAGATCAAACAATATAAAGTATTCATTTCCAGGACACACAGTTATTAACAACCGTAAGAAAAATAAACAGAATATGTTAACACTACTTTATCATATTTGATAACTTCAGAATATATATTTGTTGATTAGCCTCCTATTTTAATAAGTGCAGTTTGTTCAAATGCATTTTCCACAAATGAAGTAATTTTCAATAATGCATCAGATGATTCACTTGAGAGTAAACAATTGAAAGAAGTATTAACTTGGTGATCAGTTCTTGGATCAGTGAGGATCAGGAGGCGAGGCTCGCTGAATGAAGTCTGAAGCTGATTAGTGAATGTTCCGGGAGTATGGCGCCCAGCAATTGCGTGAGCACCTGTGTACTGCGCAAACTTCAAAACTGCTCTCTGACCATATGGCCTAGCAGACTGAACAATGATGTCCTGCGGGTTCTCAATCGCAACAATAACCCTGGCTGCCAGCATAAGCTTATCCCATGTTTTTCCAAGGTTTATAATGTATATCCCTGAGCATTGAAATATTAATATTAATAATAATGCAGGGGAAAGAGTTATTTGGAAAAAAAAAATGAAGAATAAGAAGAAAACCACAGTGGAATAAAATAATCTCATCATCATCATTGTTTTATATACTATATGAATTCTCTTTTTTCCATTCCATTTTATGACGGAGTACAAGCGATCTCCTATTATATTTTTAGTTCTTACACACATATAAACATTGTTATTAATCCACTAACTAATCCATGTAAAGCAAATAATAATGGCATCTGAGAAGCAAGTATACATATTAAAACCTCACAGAGAAACAAAATTAAGAAAACATGCCATTTGATAATAAAAAATCAACCATAAAGTTGCGCAACCAAAGATGTGACAGATCATTTTTTACTCCCCAATAGTGTGAAATGGTACCAAAAACGCTGTACACATACTTTATTAAATGCCACTCTGAATAATTCGTATTGCCTTAAGTCATGGACAGGTTTTCTAGCTTAAATTTAAAGCAAATCCACATATATATCACATGAAGCATATATATATATATATATATATATACTCAAATATACATAAACTTGCAGAACAGTTTTCTGACTGATATGTTAACAAAGAGAGATTATATTCTTATCCAATACTCACAAGAGTCTTTGTTGGACAATTTTTATTGGACTCTACAGTTTATAACGTTACTCGTAGTAAAATGAAATAAATTTGAACACACAAAAATCCAAAAGAAATATTGCATAAAATGACATTCAACATCCAACAAAATACACAATTCAAACTTAGGCGACTGATCAACGAATCGACATGCACTGTTTACCACAGATCAAACAATAACTTTAATAATAATATACAAAAACGCTGTAAGCAAACAACAATAATTAACTAAATGTAGTCTATTGTCAGAAGCATATGAGAGAGGCGCATTTCAGAAAAACACAACTGTTTCAGATCTCAGTCAATAACAAACAGAATCAGAAACACATATAAATCCTTACATAAATATACAAGCATAATGAGCATAATGTTCCATATAACTGTTTGAGATCTCAATCGAATAAGAAAGAAATTCAGATATATATATATATGTGCATTTTAATACAAAAACACATTTGTACATGTATATATTTAGAGAGATAAATAAAGAAGAAATTGGACCATCGGTACGGCGCTTGAAGACGTAACGCTCCATCTGAAAATCGCAGTTTTTGGTGCCGAGTTGAACTTCGCCGGACAACATCATTTGTATATCTGCCTCCTTCGTCGAGAGTGCTCTCTCTCCCTGTGGGATTGACATCGACGCCATTGTTACTATTTGTTAAGTTTTAGGTTAGAAAGTGCTCTCTCTCTCTCTCTCTCACTGAACCAGACTTTACAACCTTTATGTGTCTTCTCAACTTCTCTGCAGTCTGCACAAGCGAAATTAGGGTTTCGGTGTGAAATTTATAGCACTCTTATCACTACTACAACCCTAGGTAATGTGTATGACCAAAGACACCCTGATGTTCTATGATAATTACCCTGTTAACTATGGGCTGGGTTGGACCAACCCAATTTGGGTCTGGCCAGAGTATTATCAATATTTGGGCTTTTGTTAGGTTTCCACTTGTGCTTCGACTTCAGTCCATTCGTTGGGTCCTTATTCACAGTGCTCCAAAAAAAACCACACACCTAATTGGGCCTTCTCACAATTCATCACCGGACTTGCGGTTCTCCCTATGCATCAAATAATTATCGAAAAAATTCTCCGAGAATAGTAACTCCATATCACAGGCGGACAGAGGAGGGTTTAGGTGGGCTTGACCTCCCCCTCAAAAAAATTTACTTATGAAATTGTGTAATTAAATTTATGTTCAAAACTAGTCCCTCCATTGACAATTCCTGAATTCACCCTTACTCCATATAAATTCGAATTTTCGACCTCTATACATATTTATGTCTATCTATACTAGAGTCAGATTTTTTAATTTTTACTACCATTAAAGGTGTATAGGTTTTTTATTTTTTGTGTACTTTTTTAATCAAATAATATTTTTGGTTTTAATTCAATAAGCTGGATAGCCCAAAAATTTAAACGGGCTTGTAAATATAAATATAGTTACACCTCTTCGAAATGTCCACTAAATATAATATTGAATAAGATAATGTATTTACAAAAAAATCAAAATATTATTCATATGTATTAAATTATATTCATTTTTATAATTTTAATTTTACTGTTTATTATCTATACTTCTGTATATATACACACTACTATATATGTATATTGATTTGTATATTTTTCATTTGATTTGACTGAAACTATGATCTTAGATAGAGCAAAATGAAAATATAGTTAAAGGCTTTTTATTGTAATTGCTAATGAAAAAAAAAAAAAAAAAGGTCTTCAAATCAATCCACTCTTGAAAAATCCTTTCTATTAAAGACCATGTCTAATAGTGTATCAAACTATTACAAATAAATAAATATTTTATTAGCTGTTCCAAAATTCTATCAACTCCAATAACTACTCTTTTTTGTTTCTTAACTCTAGTTATTTGTTTCATTAATTAAGGAAAATTTTGACTTTACAAATCGTTAAACAATAACTTTGAGACACAACTCAAAACGGTTTCTCCAACCTGTCTCATTTGACTTGAACTTAAAATGCCAACTCCAATTGATTAATTCTGACCTCACGTTAAAAAAACAAGTCTTAATTATGGGAAGAAACTCTCTCTATAAATTTCTTCCAACATCTAGCCCATCCCTACCGAACTAAAGATTGAAGCTTATCATATATTTACACACATATATATATAGATTTGACCATCTATTGATTGATTGTATCGATGGCCACATTTAAAGGGTGGATGATTATTTTTTGCTTCGCGCTAATTTTGATTTCATCTGATTTTTTAACCTCCGCAAAGGAAATCGGTTATGGTGCTATCGGAAGGGATGACGAACCGTGTGATAAAAAATCGCATCCCGATGGATGTAAGCCTGAACCAACAAATCCGTATACCAGAGGTTGTGAGAAAATCGAACACTGCCGTGATGGACCATAAGCAAAAATATTATGAGAAAGACCAACGTTGTGTGATGAACCACCTTAAAAGAATTTAAATTTTTTATTGATCTCACATGTATTATGTATGTAGTGACCCAATAGTACTACATTGGCATTTGGGCACGTGAAAGCCTTAAATAATTATATTATTTACTTCTGGAACAAATAGTTCATATGAATAAAACAATAAACTTGTTGCAAGATTACTTTGGCGTGTTGTGTTTACCCGATTTGAAAATAAGTAACTCTAAAAATACTCAAACTCATACATGAGATTACCATCACCTTTGAATCCTACAATATTACTATTAGGCTAAAAACAGTGATGGACCAAGAAATTCTATTGAAAGGAGGCGTTGTGGAAGGGGAAAAAAACATTTAAAAATAAATTAAATATAATTTTTTAAATAAAAATAATATATAAGAACTTAATTTTTATAAATAATATTTTCGCTTATTAAATTTACAAAAATTGGAAGGGGATGGACAGGTACATATAATGTGGGACAGGTGCATCACCTTTGAATCCTACAATATTAAATAAATCCAGTAGGGGTAGATGCCCCCACGGGCCCTTGTAAGTTTGTGCCTCTAATTTTTATCAGTATACTGTTAGATACATTCCTTTCTCGAATAAAAGTTTGTTTTGTTGGTTTTGTTAGTGTATTTTATGTTTGTGTTTAAGGGATGGATTTGACATTTTTAGAGAGGAAAACGTTTCTTCTTTTTTATTCATTCTTATTCGATTGAATGAGAGAAAAGATAAGAAGTTGACAACTTAGGTGTTGTTTAATAAAAAAATTAAGTACTTTAAATTTCAAGTGCTAAAGTTTTTAAATGGTTAAAAAGTCAATATTTTTAATAACTTTTTAAATTTTTAGTGTTCGTCCTTAAGTGATCAAACACACTAAATTGATTAAATATTAAATCGTTCTAGAATTAAGTAGGGTTGCAACTCGAATGGGTTGTGTGGGTTTAAGATACAACTCGAGTCCAACCCGACTCGTGAAATGTTTAACATGAGCCTAATTATAACCCCATTTTGAACCCTAACTACTCAACTTTAGATCAACCCATCCTTCTTTTAAATTCAGGTTCGCAACTTGGGCTTAGATTTCAAATTAGAAAGTTGGGTTAATTCGGGTTAATCACATGGTCAATCTTCACACTGAATATATAATGTGATCTTGAATTACTTTAAGATTAAATTATTCTTAAATAAATAAATAAAGCTTATTAAATTTTTTTAATAAATTACAAATAAATTCTTAGAAATTTAATTATCCTAAATGTTAACAAAAAAAATAAACAAGTAAATAGATTTAACAAAGGAAGTTGAAAAGAAAAAAGGTGATCATAAAAGATATTTGTCACCATTTTAAACAAAAATCAAAATGAAAATTCGGTCTCTGTTGGGGCTGCATTTTTTATATGTTATGCTCCATGTGCAAATGAATAATTATGGAAATTTTCTTGTAAATATTCCGAGTTTTAAAAATAAAATAAGATTTTTAGAGCAGATTCTTAGATTGGCTATTTCTTTCTGGATATGATGTATTATTGCACAACTCTTATATTTCTGAAATCATTGTTTCATAATATTTTTGTGCATCTATTATTAGCAATTTTTGGATGCACGGTTTGGGAGATATGAATTTTGGAAGTTCGAATGAATTAAACATTTTGTTCCAAATATTCCTCCTTTTACCTCCCTTAAATAGTTAAGGGGAGTTTACTGAAAACGCCGATAGTCGAGAGGGGTTTATGTCATGGAGACGCCGTGTAAAATTCTTCTAAACGGAGCCAAAATGATATTAAACACAAGTTCTAATTGTTTTCAAACGAGAAGAGCCCCGAATTGAATCCACAAACAAATGAACTGATAAAAAATATACTAAAAATTTAACTTGACTTATTTACAAATCTGAACTATTTGGGGACTAAAATTCTAACCGTCCATTTTAAATAGATATTACTATGCCACGAGTCATTCGCTAAGAGCATCTCCAATCGTTGTGTATCGTTGTGTATCGTTGTGTATATTATTTTGTGTAAATATAATGTGTCATGATGGATTTACATAAAAAATTTGAATAATTTAATTTTAGGTCCAACAGTTGTTTTATACCTTTTGTGTAAAAATATATCTCCCAATAATAATCAACCATATATCATGCCAGGGGCCACATAATTTTTATAAACTTACTTAATATATGGTTGATTCTTTAATAGAATGAAAAAGAGGGATAAAAATGAAATATGTTGATTTGACCATGTAAAATACATAACTCTTTTACACATTGGTGATGTGGCAATGTAGGTTAACAGATTATTAAAGACTGAAAAAATTTACACATTATAAGTGACAGGTGTATTTTATACAAAAAAAAAATATATATATATATATTAACATACTGCTAAGATGCTCTAACCCTTTACAAGTTATCAATGCATATAAAACCCTTGTAACCTTCCCATGAACTTACACTTTTAAAGTGGGAATGTTAATGATCTTTAATGCATCTAATGGAGGTAAATTATTTGGTAAAGCAATTGGCTATTCTGTTTGAGTAGTGTCGCCTTTCTTTTTTATTTATTTTTTTCTCGAATGCTATTCGTTTATTCAAGAATGGCAGGGGTAAGAAGATTACCAATTTGACCCTTGCCACTGTGTTGTACGGAGTGTACTTGAGTGCTATATTTGGTTATTTACTAAAATGGCCTTAGGGACGCACTTGCCTTCCGCCTCCAAAACCCTTCTCCAGGCTTTCTTCAAAGCCTCCGCTGGAAGCTGAAGCTCAAACCTCTCTGCACTTGTATCAATGGCTATTTCAAAACCTAAGAAGTCCAAACCAACCTTAGACTCAGAGCTCTTGAAATCCGACGTCGCATCGTTCGCTTCCTCAATAGGCCTCTCTTCCTCGGTCCCAACCTCAGGCTTCAACGACTCCGATTTTCGTAAAACCGGCCTTCTCAAATCCTCAGAAACACCAAAATCCAACGGCAACAACACAAAGCCAGAGAAGAGAGAGAAAGCTAAGAACAATAGCAACAACGACAATGAAGTACGAGCCAAACCCAGGGAGTATAGGAAGAACAACAATGAAGTACGAACCAAACCTAGGGACAATAGGAAGAACAACAATGAAGTACGAACCAAACCTAGGGTCCAAGTTGAACCCCGATCGGTTGACAATTCGAAAGGGTTTGACAAATACAAGGATCTCCCGAAGCTTCCATTGGCGAAGGCGAGTTCTTCGGGTGTGTGGTACGATGATTTGGCAGAATTGGAAGAGAAAGTGATTGGAGATGAAGGGAAGAAGAGGGTTGAGTTCAGGAACGTTGAGGAGTGGAAGGGTTTGGTGGCGAGGAAGAAGGAGCTAGCGGAGAGGCTGTTAGCACAGTACACGCAGGACTTCGAATCGTCGAGGGGTCAGAGTGGGGACATAAAGATGCTTGTTGCGACGCAGAGGTCGGGTACAGCAACCGACAAGGTGTCGGCGTTTTCAGTCATGCTCGGGGAGAATCCGATTGCGAATCTGAGATCACTTGATGCACTTTTGGGTAATCTTCTATGTCCAATACACTTTGCCAAGCAATCTATATCTTATCATCAACCATTCTATATTTTTCCTTCTCCATTTGTTATACAAATCTTATCAGTCCTCTTATAAGTGATTTTAGTTATAGGTATTATATGGGAAACTATCAATTGAAGTATTTAGGTGTTAAGGGGAAATGTTAGTAAGTTGTAGGCAGACAAGGTGCTAATGAGTTTCCTAATTTTTATGGTAGTTTTTGTTTCCTGCAAGTCAGTGAAATCAAACTTGATGCAGAATATAGAAAAAACTTGGTGAAGCCTCACAGATGATGATTACTTGTACAAAAATCTCCCGGGGTTACCAGTATCATTTGTATTAGGTCCTAGTATTTGAACATTCATGACATTGTTTGTTGGTCAGAAGGCCTTAAAGAACACAATGCAGGAGACACCAAGGGGCTATTTTTGCTATTTTCTTCTTCTTTTTTCTTTTCTTTTCTTTTCCTGGTATATATGAATGCAATAGCTGATGATGATTCTTTGATTTGTAGGTTAATCATCAATCCTTCCGCCTCTGTGTGGCGGTCTCTGTGAATTAGTCATTTTGAACTTTTTCTTCAAATGTATTTTTGGTAGATTCATGACTTTTACTCAATAATGTTCTGAGTCGGCAGAAACCTATATTGGATGGATAACCAGGATGTAAATATTTTTGTATGGTTTACAGAAATGCTACTTTATATCTAAATTTCCTGCTTTGTCCGAATCTTTGTTAAGTAGCTATTCATTGGAAATGAAAAATACTTGCTGGGTTTTGGTGATGGTTCTTTTAGTTACATTTCAGAGTGGGATAAAGTATAAAACTATGCTAGCAATTGCAAGCCAGCTGGGGTCCTTTTGGTTTTGTCTGGTGGTGTACATCTTAGATTTCACCTTGATTAATTGCTGCTGAGATTCTGAGGAGTTTAATATGCATCTGAGCTTATTTGATATCAACCGATTCTAAGTTGTTATCATAGATCAGTTGCTGCCCATTTATATTGATATCCTGGCTGGTCATCTGGTGCTGCATACATTGATATGCTACTAATGGACAAACTATGTGGTGCAGGAATGGTGACATCAAAAGTGGGGAAGCGCCATGCATTGACAGGCTTTGAAGCACTAAAAGAACTGTTCATTTCGAGGTTACATACTCTCTTCTTTTCCTCCCTCAATTGTTTGGTGAATGGAATTTTTCCTTATCTGTAATGCCCGTCTCTGTGGTGGACATATGCCCATGCAGGGAGGATTTGACTTAGTTCTCCCCCCCCCCCCCAAAAAAAAAAAAATTGGATACACACACACACAAACCTCCGCCTCCTTAGTTTGGCGTTTAATTGTTTGCCGTATTTATGTTGACATTAATGCACCCAAAAACTATATCATTGCAAATAATTTATGGAATACTTTTTAATTTCACACTTTCCCACTTTCCTTTTATGCCAGTCTATTACCTGATCGTAAGCTGAAGACCCTCTTCCAGCAGCCTGTAAATCATCTTCCTGAGTCAAAAGACGGTTACTCTCTTCTACTTCTTTGGTATTGGGAGGACTGCCTAAAGCAGAGGTATGCTAGACCTTCTCTCTCTCTCTCTCTCTCTCTCTTTCTTTTTTGTTTGCAGCTAGAAAAAGCATGCCTAACTTCTTGTGAGTGTCCATTTTAATCAAATTAGGTGGTCAAGGATTTTGAGCTTGATTATTCATATTTCAAGTCAAAACTAAACCTTATCATTGTAGCAAGCATCAGTTAGTACTTGGTTTATGCATATCTTGCCCTAAGATAAGGTAAAGTGAATGAATAACTTGGTTTTGGAAGCAATGAAACTTGAATCTTGTAAGCTTCAAATGGGGGTTACTGAAATAAGATGTGTGTTTAATCTTGAAATCAAGTTTCCATTGCTTGAGTTGTCTTGTCATACAAGGCATTGTAAAGTGCTCTGAAATATTGCACTTCATATTTTTACTATTAGGTTTAGGTTTAGGTTTAGGTTTGGTTGGCCAATGCCCAGGAAAAATTTGGAGAATACGCAGGAGATGAAGCGAAAGTTGGTTGAGAAATAGAGTGGGCATGGAAGCATTTCGAAACATAGAAAAGAACCTATCTAGATTGTACATTTTTTCAAGAAGGTATGGGTTTTAGAAAATTGGACCTCAAATGCACTTGCCATAGAGTAAGAAAACTAGAGATTTTGTTGAAATCCAGCAAAAATTGTGGATAAATGTGTTATTTTAATGAAAGTTAGTGGCCATGAACATTTAGCTTCTCCCGCCTACAAAAGAAGGAATTACACTTAGCTTCTCCCAATCTACCTTTCAAGTCAATGAAAGTAATACATGGAGAGCGTTGGGCGGGAAGCTAAAGTGGAGCGCCTACAGAACTACCTTGTGTAAAAAAGTAAATATAATAAATTGTCTTCCAAATGTCGAAACAGTTTTGTTCCTCACATGATAAGCATAGAGAAATAATTTACTTAATTTTAGCCTTGGTTGAAATTATTTAGATGCAGCTTAATTTCAGTGAAGGTCTGAAGTTGTTAGATCCTAAGCTTATAAACAGGGTTTGTGTGTACTGGAGATTAATGCATTTATCCACAAAGTATAAGCCAAAATGAACCAAAGAGGCGAGAGGGAAATGCAACATAACATTTGGAAAACTCACCAAATTATTATTATTATTATTATTATTAGGGTAAAATGCAAAAAAACTCCTGAACTATTACCCTTTTGCGAATAACTCCCTTGAACTAATGATTTGTTGCAATTAAGGACAAACTCATCACAAAAGACTATTTTAAAATTTTACCATTTCTCATTAAATTTGTCATTTCTTATTAAATTATTTTTCATTATTTTTTCTCTTATCTAAATATTAAATGTACCATTTACCTTAATTTTATTATTAATATAAATTTCATAAAAATGAAAAAAAAAAAAAAAAAAAAATAGAGTTGTAACTACCATTTTCTAAAATGATTAACTTATTATTTAAATTTTAATATTTATAATAAAACTTATTATACTTAATTTAAACCTTTTTACTGTAAACAAAATACCTTCTTTTTCATACAATATATTCATGAAAAATTAAGAAAATACTTAAGTAAAAAATGCCTTCTTTTTCATGCAATATATTCATTAAAAATTAAGAAATTACTTAAATTGTTTTAAAATTTTCGACTTAAGATTTTTATTTAAACAAATTTTCAAGAATTAAAGGTATTTTTTTTAAAATTTAATGGAGAATATGCCATCAAATTAATATGAATTTTTAAAATATATTTTAATAAGAAAAATGGATCAAGTGTAATTCAATAAGAAAGGGCATTATGGTCATTTAATGAAAAACAGCCCAGTCGTGGAGGCATTTTGCAACAAAATGTGATAGTTCAGGAGGTATTGTTCACAAAATATACTTCAAGGGGGTTATTTGCAAATTCGGACGTAGTTCAGGTTTTTTTTTTGGCACTTTACCCTTATTATTCTTATTTTGTCTTTTTTTAGGACAGTGTTATTGGTGCTTGACATTTAACTTTGCTCAACTTCACACCGAGTGCGAGGGAATTCAGAAACACACGGAATCGGGCTGTAGAAAGTTGAAATTGGACTGCCTAAAACATACAGAAATTGAATAGAAAATGTCTAAACTGCTCTCACATTTATGTTTATGGCACTTAAACTTGCTTAATTTGATGGGATTTCAGTTTTTCTTTAGAATTATCAGAAATACATCACATCTAGATACGTAAAGACAGATCTAATATCAGTCATGATTTTGCAATGTGAATCTCGACTGCAATAAATATTGATTGACAATATACTGAACTTTAGTTGAATCTTTTCTATTTAATGCACTCCCCTTCACTTGATCATTTACATGGTTGCTGCAGGTATGAACGTTTTGTTTTTGCACTTGAGGAAGCATCCAGAGATATGCTATCTATACTAAAAGACAAGGCATTGAAGGTTGATTGTTCATTTTTTGTTTGTCGTGTGTCGTTTCTGGCTATATCTTTATAATTATCTTGTTTTTCTAATGATTGGGTGTATTGAGATTTGAGAACTTGGGGTTTGTCCAATCTGAATTGTTCCTACACTCAGCTTACGATAGAATTTGGTTGGATTCTTATGTTTTCCTTCTGATGTTCAGATCATATATGCGTTGCTAAGGAGTAAATCAGAGCAAGAGCGCCGGTTGCTCTCTGCACTAGTTAACAAAGTACTTCACATTGAATTTTCATTTCATTTGAAGATATTAAAAATATCAGACATTGTAGTTTTTGTTCTTATTGAAGTCATCTGTTGAACTTAATATGATAACTGGAGCTTCTTTGAATCTATCCTCATTTCTTTTTCCTTTTTTTGCCAACAGGTAGGGGATCCTGAAAATAAGGCCGCATCTAATGCTGATTTTCACTTATCAAAGCTTTTATCGGACCATCCAAACATGAAGGTAAACTATATAGTGTAACTTTTTCTTTTGTTGATAAGTAACTATGTTGTGTAACTTCTTCTAATTATTTGCTTATCTTTATCTTTTTGGTCTATTTCTTTAGAACTAATTACTAGTTTACATAAAGAATATGAAGTGCAGCTTGAAACCTTTAGGAAATGATGGGGTATAGAACCAAACAATTTAAGTACGAACTGAAAGTGCTTTATGCTTTGTTCGGTAGGAAGGAAGGAAGAGGTGTGGAAAGAAAATAGGAAGGAAGGAACAAATTTTCTTTGTTCGATAGAGATGATACAAGGAAAGAAAGGATAATAGGAGGGATGTCTCATCCTTCCTTCTTTTCAAATTTTCATCCGTCCAAAAATGGGCGGAAGAGAGAAGGGAAGAAAAGTGGACTATTATAGAAGTTTTAAATTAAATACTATCCTAAATTACACAAATTTTAAATTACAGTACTATACTCTATAAATTACAATATTACAATATTATAGATAATACTGTACATAATGGTAAAATCTTTTAAAACTTTATCTTTCCTTCTTTCGTAACGAACATAATAATTGTGAGCTTATTCTCTTCTCTTCCATCCAACCGAACAAAAAGAAAGAAAGGCGCAATCTCTTCCCTAGGGATATCTCATCCATTCCTTCCATCTAAATTTTTTCTTTCCTACCGAACGGAGCATTAAACTCACAAATGTGTCAAGATCAGATATTACTTTCTCTTTATCAGAAAAAAGAAGGAAAAAAAAAAAAAGAAAAGAAAAAGATATTCCAACGAGAACTTGTTTAGATATATATATTTTTCAAGGAAACTTTCAAGGAGAGAAATTATTTATAGGAAGAAACCTTATTGGTCACTAAGTTAAGATGAAAATTTGTGGAGGATATGACATAGTGTGTGGTGGATATTGATATGGTAATAGTAATGATGGTGGGGAGGCTAAAAGATTGTGGAGGATATGAGATGGTGCTTGGTGAGATTGATTTGGAGATAGAAATGACATTGGTGAGGCTATTCTAGATGTTTCAGATGTTTCAGTGCGTATGATCTTATTTTATAATGTTAGTGAACACCTCTTGATTTAAGAGAGAGAATGTTTAGTATTTCTTAAAGTGGACTAAATAGGAGTTGGATTGATTTTTATTAACTAGAAGTTCAATTGAGTAACATGTGAAGATTGTAAGGTTATCTTAGGAGAGAGCTTAGCCTCACAACATAATTGATGGTTTCATATCTATATATTAAAGGGCAATAAAGAAATAGAGAAGAGTAAAAATCCAAGAACTAGGCAGTGGAATTTGAAACGATAGAAAGTAATATGTTTAAGAATAAAGTGATAGAAGAAATAACATGGAATTTAGAAGATAAAACTAATGTTGCAGAATGAGAATGTCCAAAACATAACAAAGAAAAAGGAATTTGTAGGACAGATACTTAGAAATGAAGAAAGTTTTAGAGAACACAAATACAGAAAAAGAGGAAGTTAAAAAATATTAAGAGATGCTAAATATAGTGCATACTCTAAATTAGGTAGAAATGATATGGAGAAGAATATATACGATTTTGGAAAGTGAGATGAAAACTAGAAATTTGAATTATATCAATTGCATCAATTGTGAGGTTCTAAGCATCTTGATGACAAGTAGAGTACAAAAAACAAATTTTCTAGGCGCAAGGTGCGCGTGGTGAAAAATGCATATAGCATTACAAGTGAAACTTGAAAGTGTTAAGACAGACACAATTTTTTTAATTAAGATCTAACAATTAAAGGAAGATAAGGCACAGATATATAATTCTAATGTTAGAGAACTAATTTTTGAAAGATCATTAATTTTGAGGTTCAATGCTTTTTTATATGCTTGTCGAGTGGTGTTATCTGGTAAAAAAAGTCACATTTTCGGCCTTCCTTTTTCTTACAGGCTGTGGTGATTGCTGAGGTGGATACTTTTCTTTTCCGGCCTCATTTGGGATTACGAGCCAAGTATCATGCTGTATGTTCAAATCACTAACCTATTTTGAACTCTGCCTTTTACTCCTCAGCAGTTAAACTTCTATGATTTTTAGTGTTTAACTGGCTCTTTAATGTTATTGCATATTATTATTAATTTTTAAATTATTAAGCATTTAGATAATGGATTCTTAAGCTTGACAAAGTACTAATTTCTCAATAGTTTTAGTAGGATCTCTTCAGTTCTTGCATGTGGAAAGTGGTATTTAGATAATTTCTTGCAAAACTATTGGTATATGTTAGAGGACTTTTCTTGTAGATTGAGATATCTAACTTCTCTACAGTTTCTAAATTCGGATCATAAAAATTTTATATGCATGGTTTCCCAATTCGCCCGTCTTATTCATTAAGCTGCAAATAAAGTTTATTGGCGTTTTTGTATTAGGTTCCTATGCATGTGTCTAGCTGTGGAGTACTCAGCTTGTTTTAGCATTATATCAGGATTATTTTTTTGCTGTTGAACAAAAAAATAAGAATAATAAGGATAAATATTGGCATTTGTAGTGTTTCCCAATTGATGGTTAACAATCATTTACAATTTTTTTTTTTTTTTACTTATAAATGAATAAATAAATTAAAAACAAAAAAAAAACGAAAACAAAACCATTGACATTTTTGCAATATCTTTGTCTTAGTATAGGAGAAAATTATTAGCTCTAGGAAATTGGTTAATAAGAGGCTATGAAACTTGATGTTCATCAATTGACTATCCCTGTGGCTCCACTGACGTATAAGGCCTCTGGTTAAGAACTTATTCCTTAATGGTTTCTCAATGCATCTCATTTTTTAAGCATCTGCCTTGTCCTTTTCCAAAATAGCTTCTTATGTTAAAATTTATATTAAATAATTGCTCTGCTAGGCATGGGCAGCTCCATGGATATATAACAATTCTGCCTCTGGAAATAAAAAGATCCTTGATTCTTGGCAGCCATAAGAGCAACTTTTAATGCTCTTAAAAAGGAGTATGTTTTCTGATTCGCAGCCAATTTGCCTAATTCTCCTATTTATACTAATTGCTAAGGAAATATTTATTGTTTCAAACCATCATTTCCAGCTAATCCATTTTGGGTTCTTGATTTAATTGTTCATATCTTTTATATAAGATTTGTTTAAATTTGGTCAAGGAAGTTCTGTTACTATAGTGCCTCAACCCAGACATCATGCTCTCACTCGGGCAAGCCAGTCTTTGTTTTCCAGTAAAATTTATAACTACTGTCAACGCATTAGATCTTTTTTCCACGGGATTGGTCCCCGGTTAGTAGGCAATGTTTGTATAACATTGGCCCGAGCAATTATATGATTTTTTATAAGGTGCAACTAAAGTTGGCTTACAATACATTTTCGTATAGTTTAAGTTGTGCAACTTAATTGGGATCCTGTGTGAAAATTTGAATTGTATTCTTTATGAAATTATGATGAACCCATCTTGATACTTAATTTGAATATCCACTATACGTTCTGATATATTGATTCCAATCACTTGGCTTGCCCCTGATTTCTAGGGCCCTAATCCTGGTTCTGGTAAGACCATATTTTTTATCTTGAACCTCTTTATCTGTGGTAATCTTTGTATAAGCTTCAAACAATTGTGTTCTGAATTTGTTCAATTGCAGGTTAACTTCTTGAACCAAATTCGGTTAAGTCACAAAAGAGATGGACCTAAAGTGGCAAAACATTTGATAGATGTATATTTTGGCCTGTTTAAGGTATCATTAGACTTCCTGTACCTTATTTTGAGTATTCATTAGTACTTTTTGGGTCTCTGAGCCTCTACTCAATTAATATATATATATATATATATTTATTTGACTCAAATTCATCCTCCTTATCCTCCTTATCAGAATAATTAAATAAATCATGTATAATCCCCCAAATACACTTTTTCTATTTAATAGATCAGGTCATTATGACACAAAGTTACATTTATAATTACTATGTTTTGAAATTTTATTAGTGTTCAAACCTTTTTGTTTCAGGTCCTGATTTCTGAGGCTGCTGGAGGTCATATGATGGACAAAAACAGCAAAGAAGAGTATAAAAAACCTTCCAATTCTTCCAAAAATAAAGAAAGTCCATCTTCTATATCACATTTTGAATTGGATTCACGTTTGCTAACAGCTCTTCTAACGGTTGGTATAGATAATTTTTTCTCCAGCTGATTTTTTTGTACATGGAACGTACTGCTCTGCCAATAAAGGCTATGTAGCTCAAATTGTAACTGTTGGAGAAAGTATGCCTATTTTCCAGCACATGGCTGTTCTTTCATTTATAGGTTAAATTTACTTTCCTGAAGCCAGTATATATTGTTTTCTTACTAGTAGCTTTCCAAAAGTTTCCTTAGATTAGATGTTCCAGCATTACTTTTGGGCTCGTATTGAAAAATGCATTTATTTATGCGACTCTTTTTGTCCATTGGGATAGAGCCTTGAAAGGGTAAAAATGTTGATCAGTCATTTTGCACTATGATTTGAGGGTCTAGTGGATATTCTCTGTTATATTTGATTTTGCTTTGAGAAAAATTGATTGTTTATTGTCGTGTACCAGTCTACTAGATGCCAATACCATTTTAAGATCCCATGCATGCCATTGACTATTATGTTTATCCTACATGTATGGATTTCTTTTTCGAACTTGGTCTTTTGTTGTTCAATCTACTTTGATTCCCAACGTTGCTGGCCAATATTTCTACTTGTAACGTAACGTTGTTTTCAGTTGCATAACAAAAAACAATGACCAACGGGCTAGTGGCCTAGCGGTATCAGCCTCTTACTTCCCAAAGGGAGGTCAGGGATTCAAGTCTCGAAAGAGACGTGTGTGTGAGTATCAACTAGGAAAAAAAAAAAAAATGAAGTATGATTGTGAAAATAAAACTGTAAAAAATAATAAGAAACGGCAGGGAAGTTTCCCTTGTAATAATATCCCAGATTCCTTTGCAAATAAAAATAGTTTTATGATAGTAATGTAATTTGAAAATTAATATGGACTGGCATTAACTTTCAGATTCTAAAATACACAATTATAGAAGGTGTTGCTGTTCGTTGAAAATCGTATATTTTTCTTAAGCATTTACCAGACACCCTTGTCACATGTGCAATGTGTCCTATGTATGATGGATGGCTTTTGTGATTTAAAGCACTTGAATCATTCATGCTATCATATATATATATATATATATATATATATATATATATATTTGATAAGTAAAAAATATATTAGAAAAATGTTCAAAAGGGGAACGCGTCCCTAATACACAAAAACAAAAGAGCAGAAATCAAACCTACAGATCAACAGAGTCCAAGAGATCAAAAAAATCATCAATCAAGGAGCAAGCGCTGCCTCTTACATAACAGAAAAGAGAGCGAAGAATATGAGACTTTAGGTTTGCTAAAGACGATTCCTTTCCTTCAAAATTTCTGTTATTTATACAAGTTTCTCTTTCCTTCTTTTTCTGTATGGTGTGGAAATTACTTCCCGGGAAAAAACATATAGAGAATATGGTTTGAAAGTTGGCATTTACAATCAAAAGTTTAGAAATCTCCTTTTCCTTGGTATAAATATAGATTAAGATCTAGTTGAAGTCTCAACACCAGCTCTTTTGTTTCTTTTTTCTTTTTTCAATATTCTCCAACTTTTCTATATATCGAAGATGATGCTATTGAGATCAGAAGTTGTGGACATTTATGATAGTGCACGTTTGAAGGTTGTGGAGTTTACTTTTGCAATCTGAAGTATTTATTATCTCGTGGTAATGCACTCTGTATTTCATGGCACTTCGCTATTTTCTATCATCGATTGACACCAATGCTTACCAATATATGTAGACTTTGCGATGAGTTTGAATAGTTCCCTGATTTTTTAAACATTTGTATATTATAATCAGATATCCTTTATTTGTGTTATTTTCCTTATTTTTTCAGTTACATTCCAGTATTCAAAAAGTATAAGTCGGTATGAGTTCACCCTTTTCTAGAGTATTAACAGCATACCACTATGATACTGTTATGTCATGATATATTGTTAATTTTGATTGCTGGTATTAAAAACTATAGTTCCATGGCCATCTGAGTAGAACCCAATCCTTAATGCGATCAATCTAAGCCAATCTACAGGCTACAACCTGATCACTTAAGAAAATCAGAAAAACAAGAAAAAAGGTGTAGAATCCTTGAAAATTAAGAAGTTATTTCATAATCGGGTTGATATACCTGGAATCAAACCCAAAACTAAACTGGGATATATAAGTGGGTTCTGTTCAACTCACCCAGATTTGAACCTAGTCGCAAGCTGATTAGCCATATACGTCTAGTGCGGTGGGATTGGTGGTTTGCGTATTGCCATCACCATATGCTCATCAATTGTTGATGTTGTGTAATTACTGCTTGTTCTTTTCTTTTTGTAATTTGTTTTTCATTTTTCTCTATGTGTCAACAGATTGATGGTCCCTTTGTTTTTTTTTCCATGCCTTATGGTTTTATAATTACATAACTTTTACATATTTAAGTTGCCTTCACTATGTTGTGTTACGGCGCATGAGCTTCCGTCCTAAAGGCTTACTCGACTTTTCTTGAATCTTTCTTCATATCCTGCAGGGAATCAATAGAGCATTTCCTTTCGTTTCAAGTGATGAAGCTGATGACATTATTGAGATCCAAACACCAATGCTCTTCCAGCTGGTGAGCTTTGCGACTGCTTGGCAACTTGTTTGTGTTAAAAATATGTGAAAGTTTTGCTTAAGAATGTAATATATTTGTTATTGCTGGATGCTGATCTGAGTGTGGTTAGAGTACTATTTCATATGTGCATTTGGAACTAAAAGTGACACTTTCTTGTGCAGGTTCATTCAAAGAACTTTAATGTAGGAGTTCAAGCATTAATGCTTCTTGATAAGATCTCATCGAAGAATCAGATTGTAAGCGATCGCTTTTACCGTGCCTTGTACTCAAAACTCCTGCTTCCAGCTGCCATGAATTCTTCCAAGGCAAGTGAATTTGTCTACTTTATTCAACAGTCGGGAGATGTGTCTTTGGCTTTAAAGCAATATATAATGTGTGTGTATATACCTATATGGAATTCAGTTTTATTAAAAGCCTTGCAATGGAACAATGGAGGTACTGTCTTCATGAGTACGCTAGAATTCTGTGTTTCACATATCAGAGAAGTCTGAGCTTTATTCTATCATATGTAGTGTTCTTTCCCCATACTTCTTTTATGACATTAAAATATCTCGACCTGTTTCTGGTACAGTATAGTAGAAGGTGAAGATGTTTAAATTCTTAACTTAAATTTCTACGCCCACTTGTTAGATATCTATCTTATCTATATCTAGGTAGAAGTGAGGAGGAATACAATAGTTGGCATTGTTGAGAATCCAGTTTTCCTCCTCTGCTGGTCTTGGACATATGGATGGTCATTGACTTTGTAAGGGCTTGCTGAGTCTACAAAGTCTCCAACAATATAGAACTCTTGTTGGGGTGGTGTGAAGTGACAAAAACCCCAATTTGAAGTCTTACTGTTGCAATACCTCTTCTTTCGAGTAACAAAGGGTTTGTCAAATAGCTTCTCCACTATGACATCTCATCTTGCAAGGGCATTTATACATTGCTTCTTCTCACCCTAGTGAGACTCTTGTTGCCATGGTTGCCTTTAATTAATTTCAAAAGGTAACATTGTGACCTGTGGTAAGGGTGTGAAGTGTGAACAAACACTTTAATTGTATGTTTTGGTTGATTTTCATGTCACACACTGCCCAACTATCAGAGTTGAGAATTGATGGGGTTTTTGAGGATTTGAACATTTGGATGGCGATATTAGTATTTGGAACTTGTGACAAACTATTGTTGGTTTGTTATGTTGCTTGCTTTCATTCTTTCTGCAAGTTGTAACATGGGCATTTGTGTAAAGCTCAAGAAATGGCTTTCAGGCTTGCAGTGCATAGAAGTTACTTGAATCAGTGCCTTTAGCAGCTAGCAACTTAGCATGCTAATCCTTATTTAAATTTGGGAATGTGGAAGCGTTTAACCAACTGCAATTACCCTATCATGAGGGAGAAGATGAATTTTATTTTTATTTTTTTCTAAAATCACTACCACTTTCTTCTTCCTTTTCTTTAATTCTGCTTTGTTGATAATTTGACTTGTGGCCTCTGCTATGAATTCAGTATGAGTAGAGTGGGACTCAAGAACTCAACTAATTTGTCTCAGAAAGGCTTCTTTTATTTTTTATTTTTATTCTTCTATTATTATTTTCTTCTAACGTGGTTTCTTCTTCAGGAAGAAATGTTTATTGGGCTACTTCTGAGAGCTATGAAAAGTGATATTAACTTAAAGCGAGTATCTGCCTTCTCAAAGCGTTTGTTGCAGGTTAGTGATGAAGTATCTTATCATTTTAGTGATGAAGTATCTTATCATTTTATTGGTCCTTCCAGTGGGTGTAAGACATCTAATAATTAAAACAACTGAAACGCCTCGGGACTCTGATTTTCTTCCTTACAAGGTTATTCAGTCAAATAATTTTATAACACATACAATACATGAATTTATGGCCTATGAATTCCTTTTCGCATCTTTCTTTGTTCCTTTATGTTCTGGGCGTTGATGCTAATATCTTTTTTTCCCGTAACTGGGCTTTGAAGCTAATTTTGACCCACTTCTGTTTAGTATGTCTGGCTTTTTAATATTCCTTGCTTGTTGGTGACGATAATTGAAGAAGGAATTCTGATACCCAAAGCATTAATGTTTTCCGAATTATTTGGAATTTCTCACTTGCTTCTTTCAGAAGAGGTGTATTTTATTTACGAAACTGTTCAAGAGTAAATAGTTGTCTTGGAGTACTTACCGGACATAGTGTCAATCTGATTAAAAAGGAAATTGCTTTTCTCCTTCTTCATGCACTTCATAAAAAGACTGATGGCTATAATATCTGAACAGGTTGCCCTTCAGCAGCCACCTCAGTATGCCTGTGGATGTCTTTTCCTCCTCTCCGAAGTCCTTAAAGCAAGACCGCCGCTTTGGTAAGTCTATGAATAAGCTTTACACCAATTTTATAATGTCTAGGTTGAAAACTTTGCAATTCTACATACCCAAACAAAAAGTGCTATTCTCTATTTAAGAATTCTCTTATCATGTAGGAATATGGTGCTTCAGAATGAGTCGGTTGATGAAGACCTTGAGCATTTTGATGATATTGTGGAAGAATCTGAAAATCAAGCAAGCATCACACCAAAGATACCCGATAATGATGGTGAAATTGTTCATAATAGTGATGGCATCAGTACTAGCAGTGATTCTTCACTAGATGGGGATGGCTCTCTGACTCTCAACTCTGAACATGATGTTTCAGATGAAGCAGATGACTTGTTTGTGGGCAGTGGTTCGGAAGATCTTCAGGAATCTGAAACAATGTCTGATCATAATGGAAATAAAAACCAACCTCAAGTATCCCAAGCGAAATCCTCATTGCCTGGAGGGTACAACCCACGGCACAGGGAACCAACTTACTGGTAATTCCATCTGCTTGGTGTTTCATTTGCAGTTGCGGTAGGAGCTAGAATGTCCTTTTTTTTTTCTTTCTCAATGACCAAAAAACGAAAGTTCCTTCACTCTCTGATGACATTTCTGCTCAAATATTGACCAGCGAGCTTTGATTATGTGCAGCCTAAAAGTTGCAGACACAATCTACTGTGTCTGACATTTATTTCCCTCTAATTTCTCTGTTATTACATTATAGTTCTGTTCAAATGTCATGTTGGTTTTGTTAATATTATCTGTTTTATGAATCAACAGCAACGCAGATTGTGTAAGCTGGTGGGAGCTCATGGTACTGGCTTCCCATGTGCATCCATCAGTTGCTACCATGGCCAGAACCCTTCTTTCAGGGGCAACCATTGTGTACAATGGAAACCCTTTAAATGACCTTTCACTTCCTTCCTTTCTGGACAAATTCATGGAGAAGAAACCAAAGAAGAGCGCATGGCACGGTGGTTCTCAGATTGAGCCTGCTAAAAAGGTTAGTATTGCTGCCTAACAATTTCAGTGAAGATATGTTTTTTCCTTGGACTTCCTGCTGTTATTGAATCTTTCAGAAGATATTTCTCTTCCATCAACATCCTGATTCAGCATTTCCATGAAATCTGCCCATTTCCTGAATGAAAATTGTCGAAATTAAGCTTGTAATTCGACTTTTCATATACTACTGGAAAACAAGATAACCAAAGGAACTAATTAGTAGGAAATTAGACCCTGCTATGTTTAAGATATTTGGAGTAAAGTTGGACTTTGCAAGTTAAATTGATACACTTCCTCACTGGAGCCCTAATATCCTGTGATTTCATTAAAACAACTGAGTTTTTGTCTCTTCGTTTCTCCTCTAGCTCGACATGAACAACCAGTTGATTGGGGCAGAAATTCTTTCATTGGCTGAAATGGATGTACCCCCAGAAGATCTTGTCTTTCACAAGTTCTACATGAACAAGATGAGTACCTCAAAGAAGCCAAAGAAGAAGAAAAAGAAGGGAACGGAGGATGAGGCTGCTGAAGAGTTATATGCAGTTGGTGGTGATGATGAGAGTGACAATGAAGAGATTGACAACATGTTAGATTCTGTTAATCCTTCTTTAGAGGCAGATGGTGATTATGATTACGATGATTTGGACGAGGTTGCTAATGAAGACGACGACAATTTAGTGGGCAATGTCAGTGATGAGGAGTTGGGCTTCACCTCAGATATTGCTGAGGAAGAAGGTGAGGGTCCCAACAATAACTACAGTGATGATGACAGTGAAGCTGTTGATATTGGAGATGTAGATGGTAAGAGTGATGAGGAGGATGGACTTGACCAACGAAAAAGGAAAAGGAAGTCTGGTACTACAGCGTCCCCTTTTGCGAGTCTTGAAGAGTATGAGCATCTATTGAATGAGGAAATTCCAACAGGAAACAAATCTACACAAGTACCCAAGTCAAAAAAGAAGAGGAAGATGTCCAAGTCTTGACTTTGCGTTTTACCTCCCACCTCATAGACCTCAGATCATTTATTCATGGGCAGTTTAGACATGATATTTGATAAGTTTTCAGAACCTGGGCTTGAGTGTTACGGAGTATTTATTCTCCTGAATCGGCATGGAGAAGGCCTGATCGATTTGGATTTGCTCAAGTGATGCTCATTTTTATTTCTCCAGACAGCAGGGCAAACTGTTTCAACTAGACATTGCTACGGTTCCCTTGTATGTCTTTTCGGAAATTTTCTTTCTTTTTGTAAAACTATTGATCTATATGATAGATTTTTTTTTTTATTTTAATTCAACGTTACATAATGGTTCTCACTGTAAGTTGAACAATCTCCAAAGTGAGTTTATAGGGTCACAGCGTCGATTCTGCAAGGTCTTGATTGCACACATCTGGAAATTATGTATTAGTAGTTAGTTTACAAAATAGAAAAACATGCTACGGTGGGAGAAAATTTCAGGACTCTTTTTAGGAGCTTTATTTTATATATATTGGCTACTTGTGTCTTTTAAGACTTTAATTAATGATTAAATTACTTTTTGTATCACCTTGCAAAATATATGATTATTGTGTAGAATGTATACATGTCGGACTTGTATATATATAAACACGTGTGAGCTTGATGATAATATATGCTTGCTTTTAAAGGGCAAGGAGTAGAACTAGATATGATTTTTCAAGACTGTTTGGACGGCGGTTCTAACTTCTAAGTGATTGTTCATATATAAACATATTATGTGAACATGCGATGTGCTTTAAATCTAGAAGATTATTAGATTGATATAATATCATCGAACTTGAATGGATTTTTGTGTAAATCTAATTAAAAAGTTGGGTTATCATCGGAACTTGAATGATTCAGATGTAAAGATTGATTTGAATCAGGTTATCATCGAACTTGAACGATTCAGATGTAAAGATTGATTTGAATCGGATTGAAGCTAACCGCGGGTCAAGTGCTTTACAGATGGTGCTTCATTAAAAAGTAATGGGAACAAGATGAAAATAAATAATAGTATGATAAATTTGTTTAATAAAGTATAACTAAAGGGTTAATTACACACTCAATTAAAGTTAATTAATTATACAGCTTTGTAATTAAAATTAGTTGAATTTATTTAGTTTATGTCAAGTTAATTACAATTAACACCACAGTTATCAAGTTCTATAGTGGATCTACAAGCGGAACATTCAGCACCAGTCTTTACAAGAAACTGCTCACATATGCACAATTTCTATAGCAATTGAACCCAAAAGCAGTATTTAGCACACCATTGATACCCAAAAGAGAGAGGTCAATTTATACAGCAATTGAACCCAAAAGCAATGCCATGCACAACATTGATAATTTGATACCCAAAAACAATGTTTTGCACAACATTGATACCCAGAAGCAATGTTTAGCACAATATTGATACCCAAAAGAGAGGTCAATTTCTACAGCAATTGAACCCAAAAGCAATGTTTTGCACAACATTGATACCAAAAAGTAAAAGGTGGGCGATAATACGAATAGACTTCATAGATACAGAATACCTACATCATCCTAGCAAGTAACTGAGGACTCCAACATGTCTTCCACTAAGCTATGGCAACCTCAACAGTCTTGGGTTTGGGTGGTGGAGGCAGCTTCTCAACAACCACGGTCAAGACCCCATTCTCACATTTGGCTGTGATTGCCGACACATTGCAATTCTCAGGCAACCGGAACTTCCTCAGCAACTTTTGGGGTCCCTTCCTCTCGAGCCTAATATACTTGCATCCTTCTTCTTCACCATCTTCCCGCTTCCTCTTCCCATTGCTTCGCACCACCAGAGTGTTCTTCTCCTCCACCATCACCTGCGTTGCAACGATACACAACTCCTTTAGCCATCGAGCACCAGATTTAAGCAAAGCCCACATCACAAGGGTTGTGAATCAAATTTACGATGGAGGATTGGTTAGACGTTTGGTTGCTTGTAAAATGTTGCATAAGAACTTCGTAAATAACAATGCTTTTTTTCCTTTTTGGTTGACTACACACGAGGACATATCCGAACGAGTCTCTCACATTATGTTAAATCATCAATAACTATCAATTATTTTCCTTTATATCACATTTGAATCGACTCTTTGAAATTGGAATTGGAGTAAAAACTTTGAATTAAGTTTCCTCCAATTAAAAATACAGAAATTTCACTGTATCTTTTTAAACCTTAAGAGTTATCTCATTATATTAATAAAATAACTTTCTAAATTTTATGCATTCAGTATTCAATGATGACAGAACACAAACATGAAAAATGTGTACATTCAAACTCAACCAAACCTCCTCTCAACTATTTATAAGTTAAAAAACACACATATGGTACAATACACACACATACATATACGCACATTGAGATTGCGGATACACAAATGTATATATTTACAAGCATAGTTCCATATATGCACATGCATAAATGATTATACAAGAACCCGCATTTGTAAACATGATCATGCATAAGTGTATTGTTCATTTCTCTATGAATTCAACTAAGCAAATAGATTTAGCATTAACAATTGAGAAAAATGATAAATTACCTGAATGTCAGACTTGGATAAACCAGGCACATCCATGTAGAAGACAAACTCCTTGGGAGTGTCAAGAATGTCAACTTGAATGCTCCCCACCCCTTTGTTGTCATCGGTGTCCTCAGACCGCGAAGGAAACATGAATTTTCCCACACTTTCCGGGAAATTGAGGAGGTGACTCACTGCAGAGGCCAAATCGCCATTGAACACATTCGAATCCGCAACTCTGCTCATCTTGTTTGGATCACACAGAATCTGCACAATAACACACAGTAATTTCGTATTAGCATTGCTCTGTTTTTATTAGTGTTCTCGCAAAAGCACTTTTTCTTTGTTTTAGAGGTACAAAACTTTTGTCGATTTGTGCTCAAATGTTTCAAAGAATAATCAGAACAGTAAATCAAATGACAATTGTTTCCGATGTGCTCTCGTCTATGAATTCCCAAAATTAAAGGAAAAAATCCAAACAATTTGCTGTTTGTTTGGTGAGAAAACAAAGGAGAACGAAAAGGAAACTTGGAATGACATTAAATCTACGGATATGAACTTGTCGTACACCAACACACAATCAAATTGGAAACCCTAATGACTGACTCTAGTTCTTACCTTGTAAATGTATTTGGATTAGTGTGGAGAAAGTAAGAGAGCAACGTAGTGAGAAAATGCAAGTCGAGAAGTAATGGAGATTGTGATGAGGAGTGTTTGATTGCTGAGAAAGGGGGGAGAAAAATCTGGGATTTAAGACGATTGGGGAAAGCTCCAGAAGACTCCCGAAAAAACTAGAACCGTCGTGCGCTGCCCAGACCGTTGGTTAATGTGCAGCAACGTGAAGAAAATAATAATAATGGAATTTTTTTAAGAAGGTCGTAGAAGAACTCTTTGAAAAAAAATAAATAAAAAAATAAAAAATAAAAATAGAAGAACTCTAATGTTTGGATGGAATTAAATTTATAAGAAATCATTATCTATCTAATTGCGTAAGATTAGATGGATTAACATGTTTAAGTGAATTTGTTTTTAACCAATATTCCTTTTCTTTGGTCTATTTGTTTTTAAAAATTGTGATAATGTGAAAGTTTAAAATAAAATAAATTTGTTGTTAGATAAAACTGCGCATTTATTATTGAAAATTTATGTGCTGAATTTAATTAATATTTAAAATCTAATATTTTATTTATTTATTTATTATTTAAATAAGGTCACCAGGAAAAAAATAGTCATATGATACTCATATAGAATATAATTCTCAAAGCGTTTTGAAAAATCTCTACATCTATTTTTTTAGTAAAGAAGGATTTGAATGCTAAAAAGACTAAAGTATTCTTCTATAATTGAATAACAAAAAATAATTAAATGTGAAGAGTCAATGGTCTCCAATGCATTATTAGCTTTGTGTGGTCCATAAAATTATTTCAAATGAAATGAATATAGTAAGTGCACTTTCATTTTTCATGTGCCAATGTGAATATAAATGTTAAATCTCTTTCAGTAATAAAATGACATCTTGCTTTAATGTTAGACGACTTTTCTCTTTAAAGTATATATATATATTGAATATTGATTTTATTGACATGGTATATAATATATTTTATCTTTTTTTTTTAAGTAATTTCTATTTGAGTTAAAAATTGTTCGAATTATATATATGCGTATGATTAAGACTCTTTACAAGTTTAAAAATTTAAACTTGAATTTCAATTTCAAAAACTACATTTAGTTGTTAATGTTCCTATATTTCACGCTCATATTCTAATTTTTCATTTTTTACTATTTTTATTTGTTATATTAAATGAGAATTCAACATTTTATTTTCCCCAAAACCCTTATTGAGTGTGACATGCTATTAAAAGTTATATTATTTTTCAAAATTTCCTTGATCATTTTTTTAAATTATTACAATATGTTTTCAAATTTATTTTTTAACTCCCCTCATGTTCAGTGCAAATTTCCAAGATTCTCGTACAATTTCACACCACACAATCATACTTCTCAACTCAATTTAATGATAATAAAATTTGAAACATTCATCATCATCATCAGTAAACAAGTTATTTTAAATTTTATCCTTTTATAGTGCGTTCATAAGTTCAATGCATTTAATTTTAATGTTCCTATCAAAACCCTTATTGACTGTGACCTATTATCAGAATTTACATATTTTTTTCTTTCAAAATTTTCTTGCATCGTGTTTTTATTTTTATTTTATTTTATTTTTTTTCGGTTATAAGAAGTTGTGAACTGATTAAGTGTTGGGACATTGATAATTAAAAGTGCACCATTTTGTTTTCCTGAAATCTCCATGTTCTGGTCTGTCTCTTCTTTTTATTTAATTTTTAATTTGAGGCATGTGGGATTGATGTGGAATTAAGGCACAGTTAAATTTACATATAATACTTGTCCCTTCCACAGTCAAGCGATGTGATTGTGGAGTCCCGTTTTAATAAGTTCATGGTCATTACGACTTTAAAACGCGTTATCTCATAGAAAATGAACTGTTGAATTTATATATAACACTTGCCTTTTTCACACACAGGCGATGTTAGATTGTGCACATATAGTATTATGATCAAAAAGCAATCTGACATTACTGAAAAGTAACGTTTGTATGTGAGTAAAAAAATGTTTAAAAAATTATTATTATAATATTTGACCAAATTTAAGAGTTGTCAAAAAATTAATATAATATTTTAAAAAATTTAATATAATATTTAACCAAATTTAAGATTTGTCATTAAATTTAACCCCTAATATTTTGAGATACTTTGTTATCTTTGGTCGTTTACATACCATCTCAATTTACAAATCCATAATGCTATATAAAATAACCAGAGATAACAAAGTATCCCAAACTGCTTTAGTTAGGCCCATATATGTTGAAGTCGTGTGGAACGGTGGGACCTAATTTAATAACATATATTGGTTGCACCATCCATGTTAGACGTTTGTGCAAACAGACAATTTCATAGCTTTAATTACTTGATATCTCAAGATTTGAAGATTCTCTTCCATAGCTACTCTTCTCTTCCTGCATTCTCACTTTCAAATGTACAAGTTTGTATCTTCATAAGTTGGTATATTAATGATTTTGAATATACTGTATATTTCATCTCTGTTTTTGAGTTATTTTTATCCGAATTCAAAATTGTTCAAAATTGATTCATGCATATCAGCTTAAATTTTGACTCATATACTCTTTATGAGTTCAAAAGATTAAACTTAAATCTCAATTTAAAATTTGTAAAACATATATATATATATATTTAATTTCACCATATTTTATATTTTTATATTTCATATATGTAACAAAATTTTACAATTTTTTTTTTTAAAAAAAACAGGAAGGAAAAAAGCACTGTACTAAGGATTCACTGTACCTTACGCAGTTCACTGTACTAGGGATCCGATGGAACCAAAGCATAAAATTGAAGATTGAAGAGACTTTTCCCTGCTACTTCTAAGTTAGCCAGCCACTAACAAGAAATTTACAAAATTTAATTGAAATTTACAATCAAATCCCCATTTTATGACCACCAAACAATAATTTTTTTAAAAAGCATCTTAAACGATTGTGGCCAATTATTACAATATATATATATATATATATATAGTAAATTTTCACATCGATCTCAATTTTACGAAAAAAGAAAAAGAAAAAGAAAAAGAAATTGGAAAAGAAAAAACCAAAAAGAAAGGAAGCTGGACCATCAAATTATTAATAATATTTAAAATCTAATATTTCATCTTATTTATTTATCATTCAAATAAGGTCACCAAGGAAAACATCCCTTGTGGCATGCATATATAATATAATTCTCAATTCGTTCAAAAAAATTTCTACAAGTTTTTTTTTTTATTAACAAATAAGGATCTGAATGCTAAAAAAACTAAAGTGTCTCTCTATAACTGAATTAAAAAAATAAAAAATAATTAAATGTGAAATAACTAAAATGTTCCCATTATTTTCCTTCTTCGCCTTATATGAAGGATTATGGGAAGAGAAAAGGATGTTTTCGAAATTTTATATCTTAAAATTGTTTAAATTTGTAACAAAATAGATTATTTTATCATTTTTTCAAACTTAACGTACTTATATACAAAATTTAAACATTAGGACTTTGTCCTTGAAATAATAAGTTAATTGATAATAAGTTAATTGATAATAAGTTTCTATCAGTTAAAATCTTTCTCCATTTTAAGTATAACAAATTTATTTTATGTGATATTCAAATTATCTTATCAAACACAAATATCTACTTAATGGGTTTTAGAATTAAGTGTTGAATTGAATTATCAAATATTAGTATAGTGTTCAATTGTTAAGGGAATCACGATCTATTATAGCATTCTTTAAATTATTAAGCACAAAAAGATTTTAATAGAGATTCTTTTTGGAAAGTTAAAATGTTTTGGAAAATTGGTTTTCCTCAAAATTTAATTTTTTCCCAATAAAAGCTAATAAAATGTTAAAATGTTTCCTATTTACAGCCTTTTCCACTGTTTTTCATCTAATTCAACTCAAGTCCAAAAAAATAGGAAAAAAAATTCAATTGGCCTCTAACCAAACACGTTTACCGTCTCTTTTGGTCGGTTGGTCCCAATATTTTTAACTTTTTATTTTTCTTTTTCGTAACTTCCGTTTATTTTGGTCCACTTTTTGAGTTTTTATTTTCTTGTTTTTGGTGATTTTCTCTATCCTTGCTCTCACACTTTTTTGGCCATTCTCTATTTGTATCTCTATGTTATCTTTTATTTTTGTTCTTCTAATTTAGAATTGTGAGCACAGTTCGGCATTAGGATCTATGATTTTGAGTGCAGTCCGGTATGAGATTATATATATCAATTTTTACCCTTTCATTTATTTTTCGTTTCTAGATCTATCGATTTTGTGATTATTTTGCCTTTTATTTCAGATCAATAAACATGAGCACTACATCGCACTGGATTGAGGTATGATGTTTATCTCCATTTCTCAATATATCAATTTTCCATATTAATTTCTTAAAAAATATATATTAATTTTACTCTTTCATTTTTGTTTTCCTGTGTTTTGATATATATATATATATATATATATATATATATATATTTACAGATCTATCATTTTGAGTTTAACAAAAACGAGCAGTGAATCTCAAGAATCACACCACAGTGAGATACTCCGAATGATATTTCTCTTCGTTTTACAGTCTATCAAACTTTAATATTAATTTCCTAAAAAAAAATTAATTTTCAATTTTTAATTTCTTTTCATTTTTATATCTATCAATGTTCAGTTTGCCTTCCTATAAAATGTTGAAAGTTAATGATAAAATAAAAAATTATAAAGGTAAAGTCACCTATCATGGAATGATTCAAATGCTGGAGAATTTAAAATTGGTGGGGGTGGACTCCATGAAAGGAAATTACACCACTAATGTGTTAAAAAGAAAAAAGAAAAAAAAACCCACCACTACATCAACTGGTTAAAAGAAAAGAAACGAAATAGTTCACCACTAAAGTAATAAAAGTTTAATAAATATAAAAGAATATGAATAGTAAATTATTTTTGACATAAATTAGTCTTATGAAATTCTTCTTATAAGTTCGACTCCCCTCCCACGGAATCCTTCGCCCTTGACTGCTAGTGTCTTCAACCTTTTGAAGGTGAAACCTTAAGACAACTTGTTTTTAATCCAACAGCTTATACAGGTTTATTTGCTGAGCTCTTCTAATAATTAAAATTTTAATAAAGTAAAATTAAAATTTTAATACAGTATAGTTTAGTTAGTGGTAATAGATGGATATCATCTAGCCTAGACTGTATTTTTAAGTGGAATAATATATACATATATATATATATATATATAGAATGTGACATTTTAGCACCAGTCTAATTTCATTAAAGCCATTATGCAATTTTAATTAAGAAAAATTTCAATAATACCTTTTAGATTCTCCATTAAGAATAATGTATTTTTTAAAAGGTATTAAATGTGAAAAGTCATGGCCTCCAATGCATTATTAGTTTTGTGTGGTCCATAAAATTATTTCAAATGAAATGAATATAGTAGGTGCACTGTCGTTTTTTATGTGCCAATGTGAATGTGAGTGTCAAATCTCTTTTAGTAGTTAGAATGTTATTTTGCTTTAATGTTAGACTTGTGGAGTCTCTTCTAATAATTAAAATTTTAATAAAGCAATAAACTAGTTTAGTTAGTGGTAATAGATGGATACCATCTAGCCTAGACTGTATTTTGAAGTGGTAAAAAAAATATCTATATAAGAATGTGGCATTTTAGCAATCGCTCCAGTCTAATTTCATTATTTCATTCAAGCCATTATGCAATATTAATTAGGAAAATTTTCAATTATACCTTTTAGATTCTCCATTAAGAATCATGTATTTTTTACGCCTGCAATTGTATTGTTGTTCATTCAAACGAAATTTGTTAGGGTCTGTTTGGCCAAACGAATATGTGGGATGAGGGATTGGGAGTTTAAAGGATTAACCTATTAAATATACGCCCAATAATTTTAAGGGTAACCTATAAAAAATAATTTGATCATGTGACCTGTAGTAGGTCAATTACCGTTATTGTGGCAACAAAGTTTAAGGGCGGGGGATTTTGTAAAAACAGAGAGTGTTTAAGGGTCTGCCTAAATATTAATTTAAAGAAATTTCTTATAAGAGAAAATAGTTAAAGGATATTATGTAATCTGTACTATTATAAATTATGCAATCTGTACTAAGGAGAGCTTGATAATATTTTTTTATTAGTAAAATTAATTAGTTTTGATGTATGTTTTGTCATCATTAAATAAATAGGTATCAAATCTTATAAGATTACAAAAATAGTCATTAAATAAGTATAAATTTTTTAATAAAAAAATTATAATGAACTATTAAATAGGAAGAATCAAATTTATTATTAATTGAGTTCAACTTATTTTAATTCCAAAGGTAGTATTGGCAAAGGTTCAAGTCTTACAGAGACAGGTATTAAGTCGCATAAAGCAAGAAAGGGAGTGAGAACGAATTCAAGAACGGAAGTGCGAAAACGACAAAATTAAGTTACAAATAATGGTAATGAAAGCGAAAGCGCGCGCAGAGCTTGAGAGCTGGAGTGTGCTTCGTGCGCTCGGAATGTGAAAGTGACACCCATTGAGGAGGATTGGTTGACTTAGGACACATATATATATTTTCTTTGTTAGGATTTTTAAAAAAAAACATAAATAAAATAAAAAATCAGCTTGTTTAAAAAATAAAGTACATTTTTTTTTTTGTGTTTCAAGAAAAAAAAGCAAGTATAATATAAACTATAATTTAACTTGTTTATTAAAATGGAACAACAAGTAACAAATTATCATTTGAAAATCTGAATTAATTGTACGAAGAAAAAATTGGTATAATTACCAGGAAAACAAATGCACGCATCTTGTGCATCCATCCCGTTTGCAATCACACAAAAAAACAGCGACTGTTTCTGAAGCGATGATTAAATTCCAGCAAAAGCCAAACATCGCCGCAGATGGTTTTCATTTTCCACCCTAAAAGCATCCTCCGTGGTCCCCACACATGAGTTGTGATAACCACTTGAATTTACACATTTATCCCTCAGTCCTCTCCCTCACCTCCTATTTATACAAACACACTACCCTCCCCGTTCTCCATTCCAATTCCTGCCTTTTTCTCTATTAAAATTATTCTCTCTATATTATATACGAGTATATATATATATATCAGCAAGATATATATATAACAATGGGGAAACATGGAAAGCTAACAAAGCTCAAGTCTGCATTGAAGAAGTGGCCCTCTTTCAGAAAGCTTGACCGTACAGAGAGCGGCAGATGTATCGCCACCACAAACGGCGGGTCTGAGGGTGGAGAAAGTGCTAGCATAGATGGGAATCTCCACCCCGTTTACGTCGGAAAAGCTCAGAGGCGGTATCTTGTTAGCTCCGAAGTGATTGACCATCCTGTGTTTCAAGAGCTGGCCAACAAAACGGACGGCTCTGATGGAAAGATCTCTGTTGGATGCGAGGTTGTGCTGTTCGATCACTTTCTGTGGATGTTGGAGAATGGTGGGTCGCATTTGGAATCAATGGACGAGCTTGTTGAGCTCTATAGTTACTGACTGTAGTGATAGTCGTCCTATATATATATGTGTGTGTGTGTGTGCTCTCTCTATATATATGACATGCTTAATTATATGTAGTTGTATATGCATGTTCTGATGTAATGTTGCTGCGCAGTGTAAGAGGGTAGAAGAGTATTGAAACTGAGTGTTTTTCAGAAGTTAGCCAATTTGCAGATTTCTCTGTCTCTCCCTCTTTGTTATTTATGATAAAGTGATATATACACAATGAACTAACTCAAATCTGTTTCGAGATTATTCAGAAATTATGAATTGAATTTGGTTGTTCGGAGTGTGTATGAAAGCTAACTCGATCAGTCTTATAATTTTGGGCCCCCCAAAAAAAACAACAGAGAAAGATAAGGATGAATTGTTAAGATAATGATAGTTGTATATGATTGTTATTTTAGATAAATTTTATGCTCATTGGGGAATAAGAAATCATTACACACACATATATACATAATCCGAGATCAAAAAATAGAAAATTATAAGTAAAGCCTATCCAAAATCCACTCATTGTTGTAAGGGACGGATGTACATGAACGGTAGGTCCAAATCTTTAAGAGTTTGTGTGGAAATTGTTCATCAAACAACTCAGTTGTGTTAGTGATACATTTATTTTCATAATTTGGCTTAGATCGGCCAGTTGATCTGCAACAATCCATGAATCCAATAGATTTTTATATATTTTATATTCATGCAATAAGATTTTTCATCTCACAAGGTTTGACACCAAAAGACTCCAAATTGCCAACTGGAAGATGGTATATTTATGTGAGCAGTGATAATATGTCTAAAGGGAAGAAGCAACTGGAGAAGTTCAAAAGCATGTGGGGTTCACGATTTCAAGAAGAGTAAACAAACGTACATATAAAGGAGGCAAGTTTTGGGCGTATTTGAAACTTCATGTACGTTGTTACAACATCACTATCTTTCGTTCTCACATAATCATTATATATATATATATATATATGTCCAAAGATTATTTCAAGTTATTTGGCAAATTGCAATGCTTTTGCAAGCAGTGCTTACAAACAGATTCATTAATTGAGTTTGTAAGGAAAAGAAAAAAAAAAAAACTGAAGTATATATGGGTTGGTTGTTTGTAAAACAAATTGCCATATAAGTGCGTAAATAGCAAATCAAAGCAGCTGGCCTCTTAACTGTCAGATATCATCTCTGGAAATGTTTGTCACATTGAATATAGATGTAAACCACTAGAGAGCAAGTGGTTTATTTTACTGCTTTTTCACTGGATTCCACATTATTCATCAAATTAGATTTTTGTTTTTCTTTTGGTTATTTCATTTTATGGTAATTCTTTAATTGACAACAACAGACTACACACAAGGGGGCTTTGGTGGGCCTCATCATCAGATGAGGCCAACAGAGACTTGTGTCTAAATTAGAACTGTCGATTGTCGTAGCTCGCTTTTTGAGAAAGAAAATGTAAGAATAAAATTTCCTTCCCTTTTCTTTTAGTTCTTCTTCCTTCACCAAATCTTAAACCAATGAGAGGGTTGGTCCAAAAAGCGCAATTCCCCAAAAAAGCATTTCTATTCTTATATAATTGACTTGCATATATGCAAATGGGGCTGCCAGAGTTTTTCAAACTGCAACCAGAAACTTAAACAACTCAAATCAATTCTCCTTTTGTTTTTCCTGTTTTGGCAAAATGGTAAGATTCATAGCATCTGTACGTTCTACACTAGTCACACACACACTAACGTGATATATATATAGATCAAATTAAAGATAACATATTTGGCATTCTAATCCAAATGAAATTATGAATGGTACTGGTCCTACAAACGACCTGTTGATGATTGATTGAAAAACACATCTAAAATGGACCTAATGACAACATCTAAAATGGACCTGATGACAAGTAGTGGGTGAGGACCAAACCATCTAGTCTCGGTTGCCTTTAACCAATTAGACATATGAGGAGATCAGATCAAAAGTCCAAATATCCAACTATATACCTTTCATATATATATATATATATATAATATGATATATATATATAACAGAATAAGGTATGATATATATATATATAATAGAATAAGGTATGATATTAAAGAAATAAAATACATTTTATACATTAAAAAAAGAAAAAAAAGAAAAAAAGAAAAGAGAACTGTGATAGAGAGTACGACTCCAAACAACTAGTAAGACACACACAACACACACTCTGTTATCATTGACCATCCTGAGTTCCAATAACTTCCCCCCTAAAAAAAAAAAAAAAAAAATACGAGAAAACATTATTTTGCATTGAATTAATTTTATATTTTTTCTTTTATTCGTCTTTTGGTAAACCATAGTTTTTTTCATTCTAAAGTGTATAAAGCATCTTCTTAATCTGTCGCCTGAACAACTTGTCCAAATTTGCTAGGCTTAAGAATTAGACCATCAAGCTAGTAAACATTCATTAGGTTTTTGGGACTATAATCACACAATAGTCCCCTAATAATATGACACAATTTTTTTTTTTTTTTTTTTTTTCTGATGATTGTACATATAATTGCCATCTTCAAGGTTACAGCATGCTAATCTCTAAAAACACGAACTACTGAAGTAATTCAATCAAAAGATGAAAAAGATAACTATACCCATGAAGATGGAATTAATTAAAAACATTTGGTGATGGAATTTTTTTACCTGCACAAATTAATTAACAAAGCACTGGGACCCTAGTACCTAGGTGAATCGGTCTCTAACCCTCAGCACCTTCTGCTTGGCCCCCTTGTTCTTCCAATATTCCTCGAAAGCCTTGGATTCGTACGGAATCCTAAGAATGCCTTCTTGACAGAAACCATATTCCTCCGCTGTCTTGAACAGAAACCCCCTGAAATCTGCATCACAGAAAGCTGTGGTGTGAACCATAAATCGCTTCGTTTCATTGTCCACCCCCACTGCAACAGGTATGTAACCTTTCGGTGTCAATGGAGGTCCTCTTAACCGCTTCACTCCACCAACCCCGATAATCTTGCTCAACTTACTCCCGCTCACTCCCATAACTAAAATTCCAATACCTCTGTTTACTTTTATGCTGAGCTGCTCGATCAACCACCTTGTATTATTCACTGCATGTCCTTCTCAACCCTCTACTCCGTTCTCCAGCTCTTCTGGTGTGTATATATATATATAGCATCTAATATGAATATATGTGGCTCATATGGAAACACAAGGCCGTGCATATATACATGTCCTTGCTTGTCCATTGCTTTTGGTTTGATTAATTAATCGATGTTGATAAGCGATATTTTTCATGAATGTACCAAATAAATTTTTGTTATTGGTGTCGTTGTCACATCTGATTACATTCAATTAGAGAGGCAGATTGCATGCCGTGACCACAAAGTTGATTATATGATTTAATAAATTATTCTAATCTTATCATCCATCATTAATTTACAATATAATCCTTGACTCATCGTCAAACGGCTGCTATACAGTGTTTGTATTGAACCTTCTGTCCTTTTTCTAGAGTATCTTCTCTAAATTCTTCTTTTAATATAGCCAGTTTTCATATGTACGTCATACGGAAAAAGGCATTGATATATGGTTCTTCTTTTGTTGTTTGTTCCGTTCACATTTGATCTACAATGCTCGCTGGGTTGTACATGTCTGTACTGGTTTGGATCATGCTTTGTACAAGGCATGCAATATAAATATTTCTTTTTAATTAAATTATTATATAGTATCTGTCTGTTATTTAGAAAATCAGGTTGATGGTTCTTATTTTGTTGTTTTTTATGTGATCACACCCTCACACACCATCTGTTTCGTTTCCTCATTTAATTAATAATACGCACTGACTGTACAATGTGTGTACTACTGGTACATTTTGCCCGGAAAAAATTAATAAAAAAATGTGTGAACTGGTATGAATACTTTGTACTGGTTGCGTACAAGATGATAGGTTATACATATCGAGTATATATATATATATATATGATGTATATGATGGCTGCATAAATTAATATATGACGTCCTCTTGCTCCTGCCTGATTCAAATTGTTGATTATTCAATGTTTGGAAAGCACCTTCAAGCAACGGTATTTACGTTTTAATTTCACCTAATAAACGGATTTTAGTTAATTTATTTATTATTATTTTTTTACTAGTTTATTTATTTTTGGTAAGTAGATATATATAGTTATTATTAATTTTTTTTATTCTTTTGATGCAAACTAGCTTGTCAGTGGGTTTATATACATACACTCATTGTTGCAAATATATATATATATGGTGAATTGTATTTTACGTTCTAGGGTTTGACCCGAGCAATACTTCTCATCTTCCAAGCAGTAGAAGGTGGATAGATTTTTATTGGAACAAAAGTGGGCTTGGGACTTTCTTGAAAAGAATGGGGGGCATAGCTTACTTTTTGAATTTTTTAAAAGTTATTTTAAAAAAATATCTTCAAAATTTAATTATAATTTTGGAAGGTTGTACACTCACGAAATTGTCTCTTCAAAGGTCCAAGAATTATTTTTCGAAAACTCAGAGATGAATGCCTAACCTAATTTAAATCCTTTTGTTTTAAGACTTTTTTTTGGTTCAAGTCCAATCTTAATATAAAACAGTTCTTCAAACTCTTGAAAAATCATATTGGATTTATATTGGCCCCGCCAATTAGCACCCTTTTACAATAGAAAATATTCAATTAGTTCCCAATTTATTAAGTTTTTAATACCTCAATCTAATATTAGGAAAATTGCAAAGGGATAACCTAATACTATAAAATAATTAAAAGAAAGAAAAAACAAAAAAGAAATCACACTTTTAAGACAAATAATTAATTAAATTAAAATTAGTAAAGTTATTTTATTTTTGTGGTATAAGTATCAAGTTTAAGATTTGACTCTTACTAAGTGTAAATTTATTGGGAGAGGTGTGTTAGTATCAACTATTAAAAAAAAAAAAAAAAAGAGAAACCTAATATAGAAATCACACTATGATATTTATCTGGCGTAACAAAAAATACACTCAAAGACGAACAATTAGTTAAACTAGTAATCTCTTAACCCGGAAAGTCTAAACACATGAAACGATGTCGTTTGTCTTGTGCTACTATTTCCACCGCCTGAGACCTTGCCTTCGCGATTCGTCTTCCACTTGATACTAGGGCTGCAAGTTGGGCGGGTTCAACTCAGCCCAATCCCAACCCAACCTCAACCCGAATCGGGTTGGGTTGGGCTAACCCGAATTATACTTAACATGGGTTATAGTAAAAATCCAGCCCGAATATTTTTGGGCCGGTCGGGTCGGGTTGACTTTTTAAAAATTATATATATATATTTTTTGGAAAATATATATATTATATAGATATATATATATATATATATATTATTAAAAAACAAAAAAATTTAGGTTGCAGCCTCCCGTCTCATTCTCAACTCTCTCTCTCTCTCTCTCTCTGCAACTTCAAACTTCAAAATCTACAAGAATCAGAAGTTCAAAATCCATATATTTCAGATCTGTCTGCAAGAATCAAAAGTTCAAAATCCATATATTTCAGATCATTTCAGATTGTTCAAAAAATCAAAACCCATATGTTTCAGTTTCCATCGCCGGCTGTTCCAGTTCTTGCCGTTCGCAAGCTTCAGCCGTCTCAAGCTTGCCCCTCTCTCTCTCTGCAACTGCTAACTTGTATGTATGGGTTTTGTTTTTATTTTTGGAAGTGACGGCGGCGGCGGTGGATCGGCTGAGGACGGCGGCAGAGAGAGACAAAGAGAAAGAGAAAGAGAAAGAAGAGAAAAGAAAAGAGAAAAGAGAAAAAAAAAAAAATTCGGGCAGAGAGAGAAAGAGAAAGAAGAGAGAGGAGAGAGAAAAAAAAAAAAAAAAAATTTCGGGCAGAAAGAAGAAAGGGAAAGAAGAGAGAGGAGAGTGAAAAAAAAAAAAAAATCGGGGCAGGAAGAAGAAAGAGAAAGAAAGAGAGGAGAGAGAAAAAAAATTTCGGGGAGGAGAGAGAAAAGAGAAAAAAAAAATTTAATTTTGGGTTGGGTTCGGGTTGAGCCCGAGCCCAACCCGAATTGTTTGGATTTTGATAAAAATCAACCCGAGCATGAACCCGATTTGTAAATTGCGTGGCCAAATTTTAAAATTTTTGGGTTGGGGTTGGGCTGGGCTGGGCTAACCCGCCCAACTTGCAGCCCTGCTTGATACCACTAACATTTGACCCCGTCAGTTCTGCAGTTGCGTCACCGTCGCAGTCAGTAACTCCGACAAGACCTGTGAGTATCTCTCTCATCTCTCTCTATACGCGAACGACTTTGATTTCAATTTGAAGCTTGAACTTTGAATTTAGGGTTTAACATTGTGAAATTCACCTGAACATTCTAACAAATTATTTGGTAAATTATTGTGAAATTAATCTAACAAGGTTTTATAGAATCGAGGCCTTCCTAAGTTGGCTGTAGATTTAGCAGTTTGAAGAATCGCGAAACGGCTTCTTTGAATTCAGCTAACAAATTTCGGAAAAAATGTCTTCTTAAATCTGTAGAGATTTTGAGGAAACACAGATGTCAAGGTTTCGCTCACTGTGGCGAGCTTCTTTGAATGCAACTAAGAAAGGTACTCTATTTTCGTTCTCTGTGTGTATGTTTATATGTATGTATATATCTTGTAGATTATTGGAAGATGATGAACTGTGCATTTGAGGCCTGTGAAACTGCTTTCTTTTTAATCATAAAGAACAACTTATATATCTGTTCAGTGTGGATTTGTTCCTTTAATTATTGTATCTCAGTGATTATTGCAATTCAGCTTTTGTCGAATTGCAGCTCTCACATGGAATGCTGAAGACTTTATTCCTCCCACTGAGAGATATATTTTCAATTTCAATTCAAAGGAAGAGCTAAAAAAGTGGCATCTGTATTCAGATTCTGAATATGGAGGTGAGAGTGATGTCTCTGTTACATGAATATGTAGTCTAACAGAATCTTCCAATCTAACAAAAACAGTATCGGAAATTTATAATAGGCATTTCTCGCTTTATCTGTGTATAGAGATTTAGGTCTGAATCCTGTCTGCCCCTCCCATCATTCTTGATTATTGGGACAACATACTAGCATTTTACACCTAAACTTCATCCCTTATTTGAAATTTCTATCTTCTTAGGTCCAGCATTTTGTAATGGTGGTTTAATATTGCATATATGAATAAATTGAGCTTACTGAAGAAAACCTTATCCTAGATCCACTTATTCACATAAACACACATAAAGTAGAAGTCTTGAGATAATATAGAACATATTGGCTTGATTTTATTTAAATATTTTTCCAGTGTGCTGGCAATTGGTGTACAGTCAATGATTCTGCAGTAATTGCTGATAATGAATAATGATTATTGAAATAGACACTAATATATTTGTCAATGGTTGGTTACTTTTCAGGTCTGTCCTCAGCTTCTTTGGAGATTAAGGATGTTGGAAATGGGCTAAGTGGTATTAGTCAATGCCTGTTTTAGATTCTCTTGCAGCTCCAAATACTGATTATGATATATTGTGATTTCCAAATATTTTTGCTCGAAACATCACCTTTCAGCTATATGAACACTAATTACAAAACTAAATTTCTCCTGATATATGAGCAAGAAACTTCTGCAAAAAAATTAATTGAAGTGAGCCTTCATAGTGCATGTTAACTTATGATCCAAATCGTGGTTCCAATTGTTACCGAAATACAAACGCTTGGCTTAGTTTTTTTTCTTTTTCGTGGAAAAGCTCTAACTTTTTATTCCCTCATGTTTGAAGGATTTCAATAATCTGTATGCTGGAAATGTTAGTGCATCTATGACAATCTCCAATCCTTATACTGGCTGGTGAATGATTAGTTGTAACCATAGACAGTTGGCTTAGTTTTCATTTTCTCAGTACATTCTGAGTGCAGTCTTTATTTGCCAGGCTTTCATGAATCACCTAATTTCTCTCTCTGAATTGATAAATTGTGTGGTAATTTTCCACTATATTACTATTCAAGTAATGTAAATACTCAGTTTGTGTATTACAAAGCACTCGTACCAGTTATTTGAGCGAAAGTCTTGTCTATTGGGACCAATGACCTGTGGAAGAACAAAAATCTTCTGCAAGAAATATCCATGAGAAAATATGAAGAAAGGTTATTTGGACTTATGTGATGCCTTAAGGCAGAAATTGGTTGCATAATAACCTGGACTAATAAGAGATATGATTTACTTGTCAAGTGAAAGCTCTTCCCTCTTCTCCTTATAGGTGTCTCTTTTACCCACTTGGAAACTTGATGGGAAGGAGATTGTTGTGTCCTTCAATATTCTATTTTTCTTTCGCTTTGCATCATTAGCGTGTATGGCTTTGCTCAATGATCTTAGAAGAAAACTTGTCTGTTATTCTTTTCTAGGATAAGATGCACAGGCCTCCTCTATGGTTTCCTTACACACAGACGACTCTCTTGGTTTGGAAAATCACTCTAAGGTCCCTTCTAGTTTGGCTGTCTGAATAAATTTTCAAACCAAGAGGAAGGTTCTTGAACTTACCCTTTTCCCATTATGAGTGGAATATAGGAGTGTGAATGAGCAGCAGAATCTGTAAAGATAGTGGTAAAAAACTGCTCATTGATTATTTGAACCTACCTGTCAATCCAACCTTGTTATTTTTATTTCTTCACTCCTTCAATGTTACTGTGTAAACAATATACTTTAAGTTGCGGCCTTTATATTGATCAATTTGAAGCATGTCATGCTGCACATTATTATGTAGCTGAAGTTCATCACCACGAACTTTTTTTTGGAAGTTCTTTATTTTTATATTTTTTTATTTTTATGTAAATCGTTATTCGTTAAATTGCTCCATGAACCTTTACTTTTGTTATGCTTAGTTTCTTGGTTGTAATTTCACAATTAAGTCTTCTATTATCTAACAAACAAATGAATATTGATTACAAACATCTCTTAAACTTGAGAGCTTATAAGTCAAATTTTGCATGATCCTCTATATCTCTTTACTTCCAATGGAAGTTTAATCTGATATTTTTTACTTCTGAGCACTAATTTACTCTTGATGCATTTGATAGGAATTTTTCATGGAAATCTTTCTTTGGATGTATCTGAGGATTCAAAATGGAACATTAGTAGGAGTGGCTTTTGCGGAATGCGGTCTAAGAAGGTGAATAATATTTCAGTCATTCTTTATTTTTTGTAGTGAAAATGAGTTTTGACATTGTTAGGATCTATAGATCAAGATTTAAATGTGGATTTAGAAGTTCTATTCCTGTTTGAATTTATTTAAGCAGTTATGTATAGTATCTGTAACTATTAGTGGTTGCAGTTGTTCTGTAGCATCTATAATTATCAGTGGTTACAATCGTTCTGTATTATTCAGCTATCTATGTCATCATGTCACTCTTACATGCTAAGCAAAGAAATCAAGCCAGTAAGTCTTGAAATATTGGAGGTGGGAGGGTCAATCTGAATTCTCTCTTAGGGAAAATAATTATACCCAGTTCAGTTCCTCCATTATGAGTGGATCTTTAATAATATTTAGCATCACTTGGTGTAGATCAAATTAATTTTGTGAAACTCTTATCATAAAGCCATAAAGGCCATTTCCTCAAATGTATCTACTGGGGAACCTTGTTTGCATAAATTATCTATGCAAGCTAGGATATTTATTTGCCTGGTCTTCATGCATGTTACTTGCGTGTGTGTGTGTGTGTTTTTTTTTTTTGGCTTTGTATTATTTTGGCATCAGAATATAAGTTCTTGCTAGCGACCTATTGGTCCAATATTATGAGGTTGGCATTGAAGGACTTCTGTTCAGGAATTTAATCCAATAAATTGGGTGAAGGTGAGTGGCTTTTGCGATTAGGTTAGGAACTTTTCAGTCTTTTGCTGATTTAGAGAAATGAAATCAGATTTGGTTTATTTTTGAGAAAGAAGGTACAGCCTTATGAATTATGATATCTCTTAATCTTAAGAAGTTGTTTTTGATCGTCAATTATTTCTTGTGTCTCTGTGTGATAAGTACACTTCTGTATAGTATTTCTATGTGGACGCAAACTGAACTAATGATTCTTTTTCCTAACAGAACTTTACATGTCTAGAATAATTCCCCCTTTCCTTACCTTCCGGGGAAAAAAAGGTTGAAACTGAAATTAGTTCATCTGATACTAGGTTACAAAGGATGGTGCATGCTCTCGTAATGCTGGATGAAATGGAATAAGCCCTTGTCTTTCTTGTTTTTATGATGCCATTAGGGACTTGTATTGGCATGGCAGCATTTACTTACCAACGTGTGTTTTTTGCAGTTCGATGGCTTCATTGATTTGGACCCATATGACACGATAGCACTAAAACTTAGAGGAGATGGGAGATCTTACATATCTACTGTGAGTATACTTTCTCCTTTTATGTGAGAGAAGGTACATGAGAAAGGAAGCACAAATCATACTTCTGATGTTCTAGCTTTTTCTTTTATTATTGCTGGTATTGAAACTTTTGTCAATATTCTATGCAGATCTATACAGAAAATTGGGTGAATTCACCTGGACAAGAGGAAGATAATTCATGGCAAGCATTTGTTTTTGTGCCCAAAGACAATTGGTACATTGCGAAGGCAAGTTCTTTGCACTTCTAGCTCATCTCCGTAGATGTTGACATAAGTAACTCAACTGCAATAGGGCGCAATAATTCTTGCATGTTACTGTAAATAACTGGCTGTATTCATAGAAAAAGAAAGAGGAAAGAAACAGAACGAGTAAGATAGAAACACCATACTGATTGGAAAAGCTTCACAAGCAGGCCAAGAATACATTGAGCTGTAATTATTGGTGACCGTTGATTTGCATCTGCTTATGAGATTTACCATCTATGATGTTGCTGATTTCTTTATAGTTTTGACTTTGTGCAGGATTACTGACCATATAAAGACTGAACTTTTAGTAAAATGAGCCAGCCCATTGTAGAAATTTTTGCTAAACATGAAAATAAGTTTTACTGGACGTATGAGTATCTAATAAAAGTAGCATTGTGTAATTTTCTCTTGTGATCTAATAATGTTATTTGTGTATTGAAAAGTACTTTTTTTTAAGATACTGAAGTTGAAATGTTAATGGTATTGAAACTCTACCAACGTCAATCAATATGTGCTGCTATTATATACGAAAAATTGTCAGCCCCAAAATGAAGACAGCTACTTGAATTTTTTTTTTTAGAATATGGAAATTGTAATCATCAAATTCCAAGCTATCTTGTGCTGCGTAGAAATAGTCTTTTAGAACTACTTCCTGAAATTAGTCCCTAAGAGAATTAAAAACCAAGAAGTGGGAAATTAGCTAGCTGTGGCTGCACACCAAATTGCATGCTAGAAGATGGTTAAAGGTTATGTATTCATTTTCTCGTCTTTTAAACTTGTGCACGATTGCATCACAGAAGAGGAAGGCACAAAGGGCAAAACATAGAATCTGCATTAATTAGTTGCTTTGTATATATGCTGCTTGATTTGATTCATTGGGATATAATTGACTTATATCATATTTGATACAGGAAAGAATTTTGATGCTTTGCCATACTTACATCACATGCTGTAGGGTTTTCCAAAAAATATGATTTAACTATTTGGTTATGCGTGTATTTTTCAATGGGGCTTTACAGATTCCTCTTGCTCGATATCTTCCAACATGGAGGGGGAATGTCATAGATGTAAATCTGGAAATGAATCCATCCCGAGTTGTTGGCATGTCTTTCTCCGTCAATGCAGAAGGTGGAATGCCAGGTGCTAGAACCGGGCCAGGTGATTTCCAATTGGAAATTGATTGGATCAAAGCCTTGAGAACACACTAGTTTTGGTATACATCTTTCTACTCCAATGTGTTGTCAACTGAAGAACTAAAAGTGTCCATTTGGATATGAATTGAGCTAGGTGTGTGTTCTCAGTTTTTTCTGTTGAGGCTCTTGGATTAGAGGTAATGAAGTCAGTGTTGAATATTGGTTTAAGTTCTGTACAATCTTATATAAATGTGGTTTATTTTTTTTATTCTCTTCGCTAATCTAATATCCAGAGGAGCTGAGTTTGATTGATTCATGTACCGAAAATTGTATATTGCGTGCATTGCCTTAGCATGTATACACGCTTATTGCATATGTTCGTGCCGATAAATTTTACCTCCCATTTCATCATTCTTCAAATCCGTTTTTGTTGCTTGTAATATATATCTACATCCACTAGTCAGTTGATTTATTAAGTAAATTAGTCAAACTTATACGGTCTACTTATAAATTCCATTGTTGAATTGAGTCAAACTTGGATAACCCTAGGCTGAGTTTATTTGGCTATTGAATGCATGTTTAATTGCCTTTTATTTTATTTTATTTGTAATTTTTAGAAGTTCATATGTATAATTCAAAAAATAATAACAGGATACAATAAAATATAGATAATAAAGTTAAAATAATATGTCTAATCAAGTCAACTTGTTAATGAGTATTATTCACGTTTGAGTTTGTTCTTTGAAGTCATAATTGAATCGGGGCCATGTCACTGCTCCATTTGAGTTTCAAATTTCAACAATTTCAACTCCTTTGAGTCTTTTTTACGAAAAATCATTATACAATTTGGAATAATGTGATATTGACAAATAATTATGTAGTCAACTTTATTATATATATTTTTTATTAGGTGGCCACTTGTGTTTGATTGGAATTTTATTACGTGATTCCAAATTATGTAATAATTTTTCATAATTCACAATCAAACTACTTGACAGTATATATAATAAAATCAGAAATATTGTATCAATTTTTGTTTTGGTAAAGGGAAATGTCACCCATCAAGATTAGTTGTTAGATATTTAGTTAGATACAGAAAAGTACTAGTAATGAGCTCTCAATTTGTGTGCAGCTCATAATTGAATGGAAGGGTTAGAGATTTGTAAGTGGAATTGTTTACAACCAAATGACAGTTGGTGTTCGTCAAAACTTGGTTGGCGTCAAAAGCCAACAACAGCTGGTGTTCGTGGAGTTTCTATCAAGAATGACCCCCATTGGATCAGGACAAAATGGAACCCACTGCCTTTACATTCCCAGTTTCATGAATGGACAAACACCCTCATTCTTGAAACTTCGGACTTGGATGAGACTAACAATGTTGACCATGAATTCATGTCCTTTTCGGCTTGTCCCACCGTCGGCTTCCAATGGGTAAGTGTGTATATAGGTTTTGGATGTTATTTTACTTATAATTTAAATTTCTTATATCCTATTCTACGGAAACTTATTATCGAAAATTGCAGCCATTATGGGAAAAAGTAAAAAAAATAAAATCATCGTGAAAGCAAAAATTAAACTATGTGAATGATATAATCAAGCCATTAATACAAGCACAACTAAATCTGCGCCTTTCTTCCTTTATTTTGGTTCCTTATAAAACTAAATTGAAGCCCAATAACTACAAGATGAAACCCAATAAATAATAAAGGCGGCTTGTATCGAATTATGCAATACTTAATTTGTTATTATTAATGTAAAAGTTAAACTCAATTTTTTATTCAGGCTCAACTGAGTGATCATGTACCATTTTAGGTAAAATGGCAAAATACCAGGCCTTTAGAATTAGGAGTGGTATTCCGTGTTGGCGTGTCATGTTTACAAAACAAATACAAGTAGAGTCAACACAAGCATGATGCAATTATTAATCATATCACGAACACGACATGACATGTGTAACTTGTTTAATAAATGGGTCAAGATTTGACACGACGCGAAAAGACATATTTAAGTCACTTTTTGAGACGAACTCGACACGATTAGCTAAATGAGTCATTTTTTACATGAACACGACACGTTTATAATCGGATTAATCGTATCATAATCGTGTTAGTTGAGTCAAATACGAACATACACGTTTAATTAGTGTGTCAATTCGTATTTACACGATTACGACACGAACACGATTAGTCCAAACACAAATTCTCTTATCTCATATTCCAAATCCTCTTATCTCATATTGTGTTAACATGTCGTATCAAATATTATTAATACAACAAAAAAGATACCACTTGTTTTATAAATATTGTGCATAGAAAATTTACAAATGTATAAAAAAAAATAATATAATAATAAAAAGTCTTTATGATAATGCGAATGGCATGCCGGTGAATATTAAAAAATTGAGGTGCATACTAGTAAGTGGGCCCCTTCGCTATACTTGATTAAATTGATTTAATGAGCCCTAACCTCATACCATTTACATAAGTTTCGCCCCCACTTGTGGGACCAGAATCACCTCATTTCCTAGCTTTTTTTTTTTTAATGAACAGTAATTATTAAGGTGGGTAAAAATATTTATTTATTTTGTACACAATTTATATATATATATGTATACACTGGCTATAAATACTATTTTTTCTTCCCTCTTTTATTTTCAGCAACCCAAATCCCGCCATTTTCTCCTTGATTTTAATTTCTTTTCAAAATCTCGTCATTTCAGCAATTGAGATTTTGATTTCTTTCCAAAATATTGTTTACCGTGAGTCTTTTGTTAATTTTCACAAAAAATATCAATCAACCCAAATCCCGCCAGTTGCTTAGATTGGCCCAAAGGTTTCCCAGAGAGAAAGAGATCGTTTTTTACTTATTATCTTTTTCTTCTTTCAAATCTCCATAATTCTCTTTGATTTGTTTTCAAAACAAATCACACATCTATTTCTCAATTCCTTTATTTTCATAAATTTTTCAGATCTAAATCTCCATTCATTTGTTTCGATAAATTTTTACTTTCCTTTCTTCGTATACTAGGTCATTTTATTCCAAATTAACATAGTAATATTGGAACAGAGCAACATCTGAACTGGCATGATTTTTTTGTTTAATTATTTGTGTTCTGAATAACATCCCAAACAGTTTGTAATTTAAGTCAATATAAGTTGTACGTAACATTCTAACATAATCCTAATAGATTATTTGTACATAACTGTAATTTAATTCAGTATAAGTTGTAAGTAACATCCTAACATAATCCTACTTAACATCTCAAGCAATACATACATAACATCCCAACATAATCCTACTTAACATCTCAATCAAGTAATACGTACCTAACATCCCAACAGTTTGCAATTTAAGTCAGTATAAGTTGTACGTAACATCCCAACATTATCCTACTTAACATCCCAAGTAATATGATATTTTGTATTTCAAGGAATACTATATTTCATGATTATATTATACGTAAAATCCCAACAAAATTCTACTAAAAAGAGTGCGAACCAATCATGTTTGTGCTCTTTAATTAGAGAAAAAACAAACCAAAAATCGAGATTTAGATGAACAAAGCTTAGATTTATGGATGATACTCTGGAGTTTATGCATAATAGTTCAGGGAAATTACATTGGCTTTTGGAGTGTGTTTGGGTTTTGCAGTAAAGTTTTGAAGTTCAAAAGTTGTTGTGAGTTCTTGGAAAGTCTATTAATGAAAGCTGATGAAGTTTTTAGAGAGAGTAAAGAAGAAGATGAAGTATTTTGGAAGAAGACCGACATATAATTATATGAGTTTTTGGAGTGTATTTGGGTTTTGAAGTGAAGTTTAAAAGTTGTAGTTGATACTTTTAGAGAGAGAAACGAAGAAGACTTATTTTGGATATAATATTTAAATACATGAAATACAATATTTAAAGGTTTTATATATAAAATACAAGAGTGATAAAAATTTATTTACTCAATATTTTTAATTAATGTGGTCAATCCTCCTCTACTTATTTCAAGATGGAGCAAATGAATTATTATTTAACTGGAGGTGAGTTTTTACCTCCGTTAAAACGGACCACAACAGTGGATACAGAACTTTCTGGATACACACATCAACAGCAGACAACAAAATATCAATCTGAACCGTCCATACTACCAACACCACTAAACACTCTAAAAGCGTGTGATATAAAATCAGTTTCTGGAGCCTTCTTTCGCCTTATCAGCGTTTGTATTTGGAGAGAGAGAAATGCTACTCTCTCTCCTCCCAAAAGAATCATGCTAAGGTTCCGTGTCCCAATCATGTAGTCTAGCTATATAAATATACGTATATTTAGTTCTATATACACAGATATAGATATTAATCCGTCGACAAGAAAAGCTTTGGGTGATCGGTTCAACAATGTACGCCGGAGAAGAGAAGACCGGTGATTTCTACTCTGTTTTGGGATTGAAAAAGGAATGCTCCGCGGAGGAGCTCAGGACTGCTTACAAGAAGCTAGCACTGGTCAGAATTCATTGAATCTCTTAACACTTCTCAATAATCGTGTTTTAGAATTCAAAAAGATAATCAAATACCCGTATTTTATTTTCTGTTTTCTTCTGTTGAGGTGGAATTGGTCTTTCTTATTTTCTTGGAAAAATAGGGGAATTGAACTTTCTCGGAAATTTGATTGAAATGTAAGGGTTGTTTTTGTTCTCAGTGAATTAGAGGTTGAATTTGTTTTTACTTGTTATGTTGGAAAAGCATTGAGAACGATGTAGATTATTTTTCAGAATTTTTTTGGTTGATTAGAATTAGAATTAGAAATTTCTCGGTGTTAATTTTTTTTATTCTTTTGAATTTCTGGAAATATATTTGTGATTCTGAATTTGGAATGTGTAAAATTTTCAAATTTCTTAGAGATGGCACCCGGATCGTTGTTCAGCTTCGGCAAATTCAAAGTACGTGGACGAAGCTAAGAAGAAATTTCAGGCGATCCAAGAAGCCTATTCTGGTAATTTCAATCTTTCCTTCTCAAATATGTTTGTGGGTTTATATATTTATAGTCAATGCTTTTAAGCTTTGCAGTGGCCATGTCTTGTGAATAGTGGTAAGTTGTAACACATGCTCATATAGTTGCTTTGGCAACTTGAGTATCACAATTGCTCCCACAACCACTCAACCAGTGTCCCTCTTTATATTTTAGAATGTCTCTAAATAACTATATATAATACTGTGAGCTCCTGAATTATTTTGGAAAAGTGTTCAAAGATTGGCAATCTATGTCTTTGATATTTCAAATTTGTTTAGTAGGTTAATTCTTTTCATAAGCACGTGTGTGAGTGATGTGGACCATCAGATGTGCTACTACAGATGATCTGATCACACGTGTGAGTGATGTGAACCCTTGGATGCAGCACATCGGTTGTGTTGTACTGTAGAGGATCCGATGTGAACAATATAATTGTTGGATTCATGAGATGCCATTTGATCTTTTTTTCTTTTGCAGTCCTTTCTGATGTGAACAAAAGGTTTCTGTACGACGTAGGGGTCCACGACTGTGATGATGACGAAAATGTAAGTCCTCTGCGGGGTCATCGGTCAGTTCATGTGAGCTAGAGTGAACTTAAGTTCTTGTACGTAATTGCTTAATTATGTGACATAGGATTCCTGTTTGGAGTCTTAGAACCTAACTTTCTTAAATTTCACCATAAATTACACCAGCTTCTCCCAAATTGCTTAATATACACACACTCCTATTTTCTTTTGAAAAAATATGCAGAGTTACAGTTTACTGATTGAGTGATTGTATAGAAAACCAAAGGGGTATGTGAAATTTGTTGGTAAAATATATGCTTAATGTGACTTTTAAGATATAACAACCCTTATACTAATATGTCATGAGATAATTAACAATATGCTAATAAATCATTAATTAAATATGCAACTCTATATTTAATTAAATATGCAAAATAAAGCAATAAAATAATAATAATATGCAAGGAATGAACCTGGACCGAGGCTAGTATTGGATACTATGTCCTTAAGACAGATTCGCCCCGCTATGGTGCTAACGGACTCAGTGGCGTCTATCTCCCAGGATACAACGGTCTACATCCACCAGTAGCAGCACTACAAACTCGTGGATACGGCGAACCTCTTCCGTGTAATACTCTCTCTGACTCAAAAATGCATCTATGCTATATAAATGCTGAATTGGGTGCAATTCGAATCAAATGGTTCGGACCAATCTTAATATGGCTCGATGAAATTGGATTAGGGTCTAAGTGGTTCGGACCACTTAACCTATGGTTTGAACCCACTTGGGTTGGGTTCAAGTCTAGAGAGGGAGATAGAAGAAAATGAAAATGAACGACTTGCAAATGATCCAAAGGGGGGTATTTATAGAAATAGAAATGCCTTTTCGGATGGGGTGCGTCTTTTCATCATTGGACACAACCATTGCAATAGGTTGCAATGGTTCACATGGTGTCTATTCACCATTAGACATATCCATTCCAATAGGTTGCAATGGTTCACATGGTGTCTGTTCACCAATAGACACATCCATTCCAATAGGTTACAATGTGCCTTTTCGAGTGGGTGCAACTATGGGTTATGATGGTTCGGAAAAAGGTGTAACCCTTTGGAAAAAACTAAAAGTGGTTTTTTAATTTAAAAGGTGTAACCCTTTAGAAAAAAAACTAAAATATGGTTTTTTTAATTTAAAAGGTGTAACCTTTTAGAAAAACTAAAAAGTAGTTTTTTTAATTCAAAAAACCAACCACCCAAAAACCCTACCCATTTGTGAAACCCATTTAAATAAGCCCAGCCCAAAATTAGGCCCAATCCAAAATTCCAAAAAAAGAATAATCTGGATTTTACAATTAGGCCCAAGCCCAAGCCCAAATCCTAAACTCAGCTTATTTAAATTTCAATTTGTTTCAACATTTTTTCCATGTAGGACAAACACTTCCCACATTTTGCATACCTATTTAGGCTTATCAAAACACCACACTTTGGAGCTAATTTCTCATTCATCCAGAAACGGATTTCAGAAAATAAATATACCACATTCATCTCCTTGCGGAGAGAAACGCGCTTGTCTAGAGATCCGTAAAAAATTATTAGCGGAATCTATTTCAAATCTCATCAAAAGTTTATGTTTTTAATGCCCCCGTTTCCAACAAAATTTAGACAAAAGCTAGGGAGAATGGCAAATTTATGCTAAATTTTAACCAATCTGGACCATAGTCTGTACAGTCATTTCTTAAATTCCTTTCTTGGCTTTTGTTTGAAAGCACCACTTTAGTTGGATTCAACAATGAAAACGGTTGTGGCACATATTAGTATATGTGAATAATTATATAATAAGTATTAAGGCATAGAGAATATTGATGGTGATTGTATACATGCAAATGCAGGGAATGGGTGATTTTATGAATGAATTGGTAGCGATGATGAGCCAAAACCAGGCCAATGTAAGCCTCTTCTCTCTGTTGGTATTTTTTTTATTCCTAGTTGGATTTTTGTTGGTACTTTTATTCCACTGTTATAATATATATAGAGAGAGAGAGAGAGAGGTGTATTTAGAACCACACATATGTACCATGGCATGATTGCTACTGAAATGGGCAGCATGCCCCTTAGTGTTAGGGCTCAACTGTGATTCAGGAAATCCTATGCAGTTTTCGTTTGCTTAATTTGGGCATGTAAGTAGGCCTTTGTATGGTTGGCACAGAATGGCCCATGTTGTCTCTTATATTAAAATAAATTAGGCAGGATTGAATCCTTTATCAGGGTTACTCTGATTACATCTCTCCTTAAATGCTAAGACATCCATTCTTTGGGGCCCATATGGAGTACCAGGTTGTTATGTGCATTCATTTGGTTAATGATGACTTTGTGGGCCCAAATGATACTGTAGTGTGGAAAAAGTCCCATATGAACTTTCCATCATATGAATGCAATTCTAATCTCTCTATGAATATGGGATCCACATGAGTCAGATCATAACGGCCCTCATTTAGAGCCCAACTCATACAAATAACATTTAATATTATTTTATTTTATTTTATTTTTTATAATTTGAGTTAGGTTTGTTTCCGGTCTTTTTCACCTAGAATCCCAAGTAGAAGGAACTTGCATTGTTAGGTAATGCATTTTATTTCTTCTTATTAGTAGTGTACGTTTTCTACCCACACACCCATATATATGTATATGAATATGTACATATATTTGGTAGGTAATTTACTCACACTCGCACTGTTGCTGGTAAGGGGAGGATTTGACCCTGAAGAGGAGGGGATTAATACTGATTGGTGATAATTCACAAGATTATACAGAGATCGGTATAGATATTGAAGACCCAAGTTTGCCAGTAGAAAGATGATAGTGCTAATTTATGGCCTTTTAGTGGTATATTTTGATGACATAATAGTAATAGCGTCGTGTGTGTAATTGACAGGAAAATGGGGAAGAGAGTTTTGAGGAACTGCAGGAGCTGTTTGAGGAAATGTTTCAGGGTGACATTGGGGCAAAGGCATTCAGTTCAACCGCTCAGGCTGAAACCTATTCTTATACTTCTTACCAATCCTGTGGTGAAAGCTCTAGCACTACCAGTAAGCGTAATTCCTCTCAAATGAACTTTGGGAAGGCCAAAGTTGAAGAGTCTTCTACTTTCAACGGCCAATTTCAGGGATTTTGCCTAGGGGTTGGTACTCTCTCTCTCATATACACGTGCATTCCTGCACATGAATTAGTGTGTGGAACGGTCTTCATTTAGATTTTAGCATGATTCAGATATTTGCTCTTCCTATTGTTCTTTCATGTATTCTATTAGAATAAAATATTTTTGTTTATCGCCAATTCATGACTCATAGAATTATTAGAGTTTGTTTAAGACTATTGGGCTTCATGGCAAGGATAGGATTCAAATGACTGGAAAAGCTCATTACTTATCATGGTTTTGTTTCAGGAGTTCACTAAATGACCCATATAAATATTAGAGTTCCTTTAATACTATTGGGCTTCATGGCGAGGATAGGACGTCAAATGACAGGAAAAGGTCATTACTTATCATGGTTTTGTTTCAGGAGTTCACCATATCAGTAATTGATTCTCTCTCCTGAAGACGAAGTAGATAGTTTTTAAGAGTTTTCATTAATTTCTCAGCTCAAATATAGTAAATCAAGGAATGCAATCATGTTGGTTTGGTACCTTATTTGATAATTAGTCCAAATTAAAGTACAGAGTATAGTGGAATACGGTTGTACCTGGGCTTTGGTCCAAGTCAATTGTTGCATAATCTAGCCAGAGTTTTAGGCATGGGCTAACGGGTTGGGTTGAGAACATTCCAATTTATATGTATAAACTTATATAAGTGGAAAATTCTAAATTTGCTTGTAATTTTGGGATTTTGATTAACTAATACAACATGATTGATGACCCTTTTTTTTCTTCCCGGCAGGCGGAACGTCAGGAAAGTACCCGGAGAGGGAGAGGAACAAAAGGAGGGATCCCAGGAGGGGCCGGAAGTGGACGGAGGAATGGCAGGAAACATAAGGTTTCATCTAGCCATGATGTATCCTCCAATGATTAATCAAGTGCAATTGCTTGACATTCAATGTGGCAAATCTATCCTCATGATATTGAAGCCTGATTTATGTGCATGAAGCTGCATAATGCCCAGTCGAAACATTATCAATTGGGATCATCAAAGAGTTGTTTATTAGGCATTTTGGCTCTCGGTTCAATCACAACCGGTAGAGTCGAGCCTCGGACAATGTTCGCGAATCTTGTATCACGTTTGGTAATCTTCAATTGCAATGTTTTACTTATTTGTGTTTTTCGAACTTTTTTTCTCTTAATATTTGTTTATTTGTGTTTTTCAAACTTTTTTTCTCTTAATATTGCACTCAAGTTGTTAGGTAATATATATATATATTCTGCCCTTCTTTTTAAGCATCTGTAGTTTGTTCTTTATGTTCAAGGTTACGAAAGCAGTTGATACCGTCATGTAACAACTCATTATTGATAGACGCTGTAGTGTTTTACTAAAAAATCCTTGTCGGAATTATTATTATGGTACAAATCTGATTGTAAGTGTGTAAGCTCGCAAATCTACCTTGTAATTGGTTTCTATTTTAGAGTTATTTTATTTTAGTAATTTCTTGTGAGTTGCAAGCCTTGGGTGAAAATTGTAGTACTTGTGTAACATGGAGTTGAGTTTGGAACTCTATAAATGCTTAGGTTACTTTTGAAAGAGGGAGTGTTTTTCACGTTCTAATTCATGGTAAATTTTGTTGACGGTTTTTTTTTTGGTGGTTGTTGATTTTTGTGTGCATTTTTGGTTGTTGTTGATTTTTGCGTGCATTATTACTCTCCACGAGTTTTCAAGGAGGGGTCTTACGTATTCGATCTGTTTGTTTGAGTGGGTGTAATGGCATCGTAATACGAGATATTGGTGATCACTTTTTGTTTGATTGGGTGTAATGGCATCATAATACGAGACATTCGTGATCGAGAAGGTGGACGGTACAAATTTTGATTTTTGGAAGATGCAAGTTGTTGATTACTTATTTCAGAAAAAATTGTATCTACCTCTTGGAGAGAAGCCAAAGGATTTGAAGGATTCTGAGTGGTAATTACTTGATGAGAGGGCTCTTGGCACAATTAGATTGGCGTTGTCAAAGTCAATTACGATTGTTTCTCATAGCAACCCTTTCTAGCATGTATAAAAAACGAATTAGAACAAATAAAGTACACTTGACTAAGAAGTTGTTCAATTAAATGGTTAAAGGTAGAAGGTTCAATGAGTATCTAAATATGTTTAATGAAATTGTGAGTCAATTAGAGTTTGTTGAAACTGACTTCAAAGATGAGGCTCGAGTTCTAATAATTCTAGGGTAATTATTCGAGAGTTGGAATGGCACAGTTACTGCGATTTGTAGCTCTGCTGAGAAGTCTAAGCTGAAGTTCGACGATATTGTTCGCATGAGTATGATTGAAGATTTCATAAGGTAAATTGTTAGTGTTTTATTTAAATGTTAAAAGTAGAGGTAATGCTGAAGTATGTCACGAGATTACAATTTCGAAATTCTAAGAATTATTCATAATTTCACAAATTTGAATGATATTGATTGTTGAAATTGTGGATGACATTACCGAAGTACAAATGATTTTTAGCAAAATGATTGTTATTTGATACTAGTATATACTTATTTGAAATCATGAATATATTTACATAGTACTATATTTAGACTCTTATTGATCAAAATTTGTTTTTTCAAAATATTAATGAAATTGTTAATAAAATTGTTCTTGTTTACAATTGCGTTTAGTTAAAGTTTTATGAGAACTTTTGATTTTTAAAAAATAAAAAATCTTCAAGTATTCCCATTCAAAAAAAAAAAAAAAATGTTGAAAGTAAAAATAGCAGTATGGTACTTTTATGTGAGTGGAGGGGAATTCGTTAGGGGAAGAGAGGATGGTGAGCCCTACAACGCGTGGGTCAGAGACCCCATGTGGGTCAGCTACATTGAGTATTTTGAACTCTCACACTGGACCAACCAAAAGGCAACAATCATGTCCTTTTTGGTTTGAAGTAGGAGAGAAGTTGGGGCCCCGCAATCCTCAATTTCAATGTAGGTCCCACGCTCATATAGATAATACTCAACCATGCCTATTGCTATTATTGTATTATTACCGGTTTACTGTGGGTTAATCACTGTTTATTATTTTATTATTTTTTATATATTTAATATTGTGAGTAAAAAAAATTAAAAACATATTTGTATTTTTGTTAATTTGTATTTTTTTAAACTACTATTTTTTTAACCACTTGAATTTTTTATTTTATTTTATTTTATTTTTTATATATTTGAATGGAACAATTCTTTTAATAAATTTAAATTAGCATATTTTCTCACAATTAAATAAATAAAAAAAAGATATTACATATTTTCTCACAATTACATAAATAAAATAAAAATACATTACATATTTTCTCACAATTACATAAATAAAATAAAAAAGGCATTACATATTTTCTCACAATTAAATAAATAAAATAAAAAGACATTGCATATATAATGTCTCAAAAATATAAATATATTACATATGACAACCCCCTTGATTTAGTTTATTTAAGATTTGATTTGGTTGTTGAATGATCCATGTCTTTGATGCTTCTGTTGGAGTCTTCGATGGATCTTGACGCATTATATCTTTTTCAAACTCTATTTAAGCCATTATTTCTCTCATTTTTTTTTTCTAACTGTTTAGTCCGTTCTTTCTCTAAATTTGATTCTATCACCAGCTGTTTAGTCTGTTGTCTCTCCATGAAAAGTTGAAGTCTCATTCGCTCTCCTTCCACACCTATTTCACCAAACATGACGCATTTGTGCTATTACAGCTTCCAATTGTTTAAGAATACTTGTTTCAAGAGATGTCGTTTTCTTTTTACGAATCTTCCTTACTTTTTGTCCCTTGGGGCGTGAGATATTCGAACCTTCATTATCGACTGGTGTATTGTCATCGCCAAGATTTATCGAAGCTAGAGTTGATATTGCAAGAGTTGATGAACCTGGTATTTAGATTATTGTTTCTGTTGAAGTTTATATACATCTCTAGTAGTATTCATCTATAAAAAATAAATAATCATTGAAATTAATAAGTTGGATTAAAATTAAGAACAAAAAAATGTTGTATAAAGTAAAAACTTACCAAATCATTCTCATTGTAGCCACTTATTGGATTGTCACGGACATTTTTGTAGTAACCTGAAAATTTGTTTACTTCATGTTGAAAGTGTGAAAAACGGTTCATCAAAACACTATGTATTCTTTCTTCCATCATCATGTGTCCCAATTGCCTAACCCAATGAGTATGAATTCGTTGCCACAATGTAATCTTACTTTGATATGTACCCGTCACTGGATCTTCACCAATCATGATCCATGCTTTGCACAATACTATATCTTCTTTTTCTGACCAATTCCCACTATTTTTCCTCAAGGGTGGCTGTGATTGAGAAGGTTGCTAAGATGAATTTTGGAATTGAGGTGTGCATGGGGGTTATTGATATGGATTTTGGAATTGATATGTGTAAGGGATATAAAATGAATTTTGAAATTGAGGTGCGTATTCTGGATAAAATTGGTTTTGGAATTGGGGTTGAGATGTATATTCAAAATGAGTTGAATCTTGAAAGTGCCACCTATAATTGAACCACTGTATATGGTTAACTTGATTTTTTTCCAACCAGTGTATAACTTACTTTTTTAACCGTTGCAATTTGTGGTCCCAATTTCACTCACAATATGTACGTCATCTGCAACGATTGTTGTTGTGATTCTTCACATAGGGATCACTGTTTGTCAGCCCCATACCAAACAATAGACTAGCCCCTCTGACTTCCCAGTTGGCAAAAGAAGCATTACACCTGTTGCTCTTAGGGCCCGTTTATTAAGGCTTTCACTTTCTTATTTTTATTTCTCTAAAAGTAAAATCATAATTTTGATTCCTTGAAGTGAAATAAAAAGTGGAATCATGTTTAATAATTTTTTCTACTTTCAATATTTTGAAAGCAAAAAAAATATAAAGTAAGTTCAATAAATTATAAATTTATTTTTGTTTTTGTGGTCATCTTTCTCTCTCTAAAAAGGGTATCTGGGTTTGATGATAATTGTTTGGCTTCCTCAATGACGAACTAAGCAAGCATAAATTTGGCAACATAAGCATAGAAAAAGTGAGAGCATGAAACTATGACTCAAAGAAGAACTTGATAAAGATTAAAGAGCTCATCTGTTCCTCCATACATATCAATGTCATCTTGATTCTTTGGCATGCATAGAGTAGTAAAGGTATGTAAACAGACCCTTGTTGTAGACAATGTAATTATCATCAATTTTTGGTTGTCCGTCACCTTCTCCTGGTTGAATAATCTCTTGTCCTAAAGTTGTAGCCTCTCTTCTTCTCCGGCAACGACGATGCCGGAATCAAGTAGTAGTTGATGTGATTGAAAATAGAGAAATAGATGAGTTTGATAGAGGAAATCGTCAGTCCAAGTCCTATATCAGTCTAGCGATCCGATGAAATTGAGGCATAGTTGTCTAAAATTGGAAGAAATTGAGCCATAATTGTCTGAAATTGGAAGAAATAAGGGTGATGAGATGATGGGTCAACAGTAGAAGGAGGAAGAGGTCTCAATCTTCATTGGATGATTGGCAGCGGTTTGTGGTGGTAGAGAGAAGAAGAGAGAGGAGTTAGTGTCCCCTCCGTCACCGGTCACTGATCAGCAGATTCCAAACTTGCAGTGGTTGTGGCGTGGGTCTTGGTGACAGGAGAGGATGATGGTTAAAGGAAGAAAGAGAGGTAGTACATTAATTTTGGCGGGATAACAGTGGAGAAAGTAATTTCTGTCTACATTGGAGAAAATAAAGAAAGTATCAAATTGTCACTTTCTCTTATCTTCTTTAAAAGAGAAAGTACTTTCTTGAAGTAAAAAAGTAAAATTACTTTATCGAACGTGATTTTTAATTTTACTTCTCAATTTTTAAAATTAAAAGTAAAAATCAGGAATCATTTCTGTTACTAAATAGACCCTTAGAGTTTTGGAATGCTTTTTTTATGTACTCGTTGATCCGATGAATTAAACTCTCTCTTTTCTTTTCTTTTTGTCACATTGTCAAATCAATTTTATTTAACATATGGTGAAGTCCAAAAAACTTCTCTATGGTTTGAAAATTGTGCAAACAATATATCTTGTATTCAAATTACATCTTTGTAGTATGAAAAATGAGCAAACAAGACTTCTAACCCCCAAAAGTGACATGTGCGAGTCATGTAATAAAAAAAAAAAAAAAAGACTCTTTAATACTAACAATACCCTTTTGGGCTTCCCAAACTGCCCCTCATCTTTTTCTCCCTCGTTGCTATATAAATACCTCAATTTCATTATTTCT